ATCAAAGAAATGGTTGTTAGAGTACACAAATAAGTGTTAAAAAGCAGTGGATTGATCCTGATGGAAACAGAAAAGCAGGCCAAGCAGGCTAACAGTAGGTTTTACTTACTTGACTTCAACCAGCTAAAAGCTCATACCTAGCCTCCTTTTACAGTAAGTCAAGGGAAGCAGGTGTCTCTAGTACCATTAACCACGTCCTAAGGCTGCAGTTAGGCAGAAACTGACACTGACCTAAGTGAGCACCAGCATCAGGAAAAGCAGTGTCCCCAAGGTCTTCTGCCCAGAATGAGTGGTTTATTCCAGTTCTGCAGAGTGACTTCATTTTTGTTGACATAAGGGTTCAGTAACCTTGATAGATAGCTGACATTACTGAAACCATCCTCTTCCACCTCCTTCTTTCTTCTCTCAAGGTTACTTCTCAGTTGGATCAGTCCTCTGGTCTGGAAACTATGCCAGCAGTGGCTGGGCAATGGACCAGAGCAATGCTGGGCAAAAATGACTGCTTCTTTCAAGCTGAATGTCAGAGGAAAGCATTTTGCAAAGAGTCTGAATGAGCCATGTGAGTGTAACACTTCACTGCCACCAGTACAGGGAGATCTTCTATTCCATTCCCTCCCTGCTGCCAGGGCCACACAACCACTGCTTCCCTCTGCAATGGCTGTGGACTTGTAAAGGCCTTCTGTCACTGGAGACACCTTCAGAAACTGGTAGAAAATTAAACCATTAAAAAAAGTAAATAAATTTTAGTGTGTCAGCCAGTACAGCTGGATCACAGAGGTGTTAGATGGACAGCAGAGCTGGCAAATGAAGAAAGAGGCTGAATGACCTGGGGATGAGGAAGGGAAAAGAAAACAAGAAGGGAATGAAGTCTGGGTCCATCCTTTCAACAGTCATGAGCTGTTAGATCAGCTGCCCATCAAACTGCACCCTCAGGGCCCCCTTCCATATTACACTGGATATGATCTAATTGGAGGCAGACATGGGAAGGGACAATGCCACTTTCCTCCAGGCTTTCAGCTGCACATTCCCAATAGGCAGGGGAGCAGAAGTGAGGGGACAGGAGAGCCAGCATCCACAATCAGATAAAATACACCATAAATAAACTGTTAAAACTGGATGGTTTCAGTTACTCTCTGGAGTTCTTATATTTCCTCATTAACTAAAAGGATCCTAGACAAAAAAAAAAACCCCTCACATTAGAACCCTATTTTCAAAGTGCCTGAAGGTCAGTGATACAAAAGTCAGACTGATGTGTTCATCCTGTGCTGTCCCTGTCTATAGTCTCCATCCTACAGCACTGCAACCTTACATTTTGAAGGAATGCATTTGTGCTAAATATTTCTTTCATTTTACAAGAAAAATTATAATTGAAAGACATCCAAAAAGTGTAAGAAATCGGAGCTGATCTGCTGATATATACATTATGAGGCTAATTACCAAAAGAATTGCAACTCTGTTGCAAAGTATTGACACTGTCCTCTTGCAATTCAAAATGAAATCAAAACTGAAACATCACAAAGGAAAAAACCACCGAGTTTCTAAACCCTACTGATGAATCCCAATCAGGCTGGAGCTGAAGAATAAACATAGAGCCAAGAGCTCCTCCAACAGCTGTTGAGACAGTGTGTGCTCACAGGGCTTTCATCAGCACTAGCAGGGGTTGTCTCTGGAAAGAACAAAGGAGCCTCAGAGCCTGGGCCATGGAGGGAGAAGCAGCGGAAACAAAAATGTCACTTGGATGACAGTCAGAGACTTCCCTGAGTCCCATTCTCTTCCCCTCCCTCACTTTGAGGAATACCTTAACTGTTTCAGGAGCCTCATTCACTCATGTTCCTGGCTTGAGCATGTTACTGACTTCAGTGAAGCCATTTAAAAGAAGGTGCTGTTCAACACGAGCATGAATAGCCAGATTATTTTTTCATTAGCAGCTGAAAGACTATTATTTCCTATGATGAATTATTAAACAAAGCATACAAAAGCACCTCCACGAAGCACTGGCTTCCATAACAGACGCTGACTGATTTCAGTGAAATAACTCAGATCTATGTTGATATTCAGTGATTAAAGAGACTAAAAAAAGGTAATCTCACACACTGAAATAAAGGTATTTCCTTCTACTAACTCTGAATTGCACACTTTACTACTAAAATATTGATTCAATTTGCATCTTATTTGTGTTGCCAAGAGGATTTAGTAAACACACTAAGCACCAACTTCAGGAAGAAAATTTGTGTATATTTTTCGTGTTTGACTGGATGAAAACATTCAAGGAAACAACTGTCTAGACATGATGACAATAAACCCTCTATGACTGGAACAGCAGGAGAAGAGGTTGCCCTCACTAAGAAGTACTTCCCAAAAAAGTCATGAACTGTTTGCCAGGCTGTCATGTGCTCAAATAATTATTTCAGATATTCATTCTTCATAAGAAGTCCTATGTATAATTTCCCAAAGTGGAACACATGGATGGTTTATGGATCTGTGTTTTTGTCCATGAACAAAGCTTTGTTCTGTTGAGAGCTGAAAGGTGCCTTACACCCATCCATGCCATGTCAGGGGGCAATGCTTCATCAGACCCACACTTCTGTCATGGCATAATTTTGTAATTCTTGCATTATCAACTGTGTGAAAAGGGATTATAGGCACACAGGAAGTTAGCACAAAAATTGTTATTAACAGTAAAATAATGCTGATGATGGTTATCAGCAGGGCCATTACTGCTCTCTAATGATTTCCCTGTGGTCAAGACTCAATCCAGATAAAAATTCAAGGGAGATCCTCCTGCTACTAAGGCAGGAACAGATTTGTAAATTAAAAAGAAAATAGAGAAATTTAATTTGTCTCTTTTTTTATGGGAGCTTTAGTTTCACACACATCCCACTCCTGGAAGTTGCTCCATTGGGATCAGCTCTTGCGCCTGCACAGCTTCAGACTGGAACTAAAAACCAAAATTAAGTGAGATAATCAGAAAAGGAAACTGAGTAGAAATTGAGAGCAAAATTCACAATTTAGTTTCATGATGCAAGCAAAAGTGACAAATGGGTTATAACATTAATTTCATCTGACAGAGATAAGAAAATGGGTTGTTTCTTTAAATCAAGAGCTTCTTTCTCCATCTAGCAAAGTCGGGAGATGTTATCAAAAATATATCAGGCTCTGTCTTAATTCAAAGACTGCTGAAGGGTTTTTTATATGCTTATGGCTTTTTTATCAACTGTTTAATTTCATGTATCTGGTTTAAGGTGGCCTGATACTCTATACTGAGTTATTTCTTGAACTCTGAATGAGTCAGCTTTGTGGTTTCTAAGGAATGTGTTGTGCTTCTAGGAAGTCAGCTTGGAGCTCTGGGCCTGTAGATATGGCCTCTGATGTGCATAGCCAGGCTGATGGCTCAAGGAATACACATAATAAACATGAACTTTAGATCTGGGTACAGGAGACTTTCTCCACGTGAAAATCTCCCCTTTTGCACATACTTACAGAATCAGTCATTTCATTGGTTTTGTTTCCCTCTTTTGTTTGCCTCTCCAGTTGTGTCATTTCCAGTTGTGCCATTCTCAAACTCATTAAATAGCCCCATCTTTTATCTTAAAAAATGCTCCCATTCAGGACCTCTTGTCTGTTCTCTACTTTTGTGTCTGAAATAAATACTCCAGTCACATTTTCAAGCTTTATTTCACAACAGTGAAAATATAAGCTGAAATTCTTTCACAACCACTTGATCTAAGGAGCTTCAAGAAAAATGCTGAATACAAAACTTGTGGTAAAATTGTAAAAGTTGGCAATATGAAGATTGAGAAGAAGAGCATGTTTGCCTTGCATTTTGATTATCAACCTGCCTTTTACAGACATACCTGATTCTCATCTGGCCTTTTTTATAGCTCCAGATCTCAGCAGTGATGGAGGAAAACTTGGTATTGGGATTAGCTCTTAGAACAGGCTCAAGCTGTTCTGTATGTTGAGCTTGGTGTGTGTCCTCACAGCCCCTCCCCACTTTTATGCCACCTTTACCTGGCTGGTATCAGCCAGCACATTTCAGAAGGGCAATGGTAATTAGGCATGCTATAGATAGCCATGGAGTAGCACCTTATCAGTGCTACAAATATTTTCAACAGCTAAAATAACCCCAAGCAAACAAACCACAAACCCCTCTAAGATTACATGAAGTTTTACCTCCTTTGCAGATGAAAAGCACAAACAGGCCACGCCTAGTCTGAGAGGACATCCCAAGCTTTGCCAGCAGTTTACAGACAGACACTCCATGTATTCAACAAGCAATTTCAGAGTGAACAGCCTCAGAAAACAGGGATGCCACTTGAAGTTCTGGAAAACACCTGATGCTTCCTGGGGGATCACAAGCAGGGCAACTCATCGCGGGGCCTCCTGGTTTGTGAATGCCAAGTGACTGAAGCTCAACTCCGGGCCTCACTGACAGGCCGCTGTCTGGGGCATCTGGAGTCACTCTGTGGTGAAGCTTCCTAAAGGATTGCCCCTTCTTCTCTCTGGTGACAGGAGGGACTGGCCCGGAGCTGTGCCAGGGAAGTATAGGCTGGATATCAGGAAAAGATTCTTCACCCAGAGGATGGAGGGACACTGGAACAGCCTCTCCAGAGAGGCGGTCACAGCACCAAGAAGCGTTTGCACAACGCTCTCAGGCACATGGTGTGATTGTCGAGGCTGACCTGCTCAGGGCCAGGAGCGGGACTCTGATGATTGTCAGTCCCTTCCAACTCAGAATAGTCTGTGATTCTGTGATTCTTCCAGCCGGCCTGAGGAGGAGCCTGTGCGCCCGCTCCATGGGGAAAACGAAAGCCTTTGAGTCGGCAGACCAACAGCACGGCGGCGGCCGCCCGGGGAGGCTCGGAGGCGCTGTGCCGCCGCGCTAGGAAGCGGAAGGGCCGGCGGCGCCGGGAGCGGGCAGGGAGCCGCCGGAACCCCCGAGGGCCGCCCCGCACGCTGGGGGCGGGCTGAGGGCAGCCGAGCCGGAGCGGCGGCGGCCCGGGCTGGGGCTATGCTGCTGCGCCTGGCGCCCGAGTTCGAGCTGCGGAGGGACGTGCTGCCCTGGCTGGCGGAGCGGGGCTGCGCCGCGGCTCTAGGTAACGCTCCGGGAGGCCGAGGAGAGCCCCATCCCTCCGGCCGGCCGGCCCTCCCTCTCTCCGGCCGCCTCCGTGCCCTCCCGCCCGCGGAGGAGCCGGGCTGCGGGGAGGCCCCCGGGTGCGGGTCCGCGGGAGACCCCCGGGCAGGTCCGCAGCGGGAGCTCCGGCCGCGGGGGCCAGGGAGGGCGGCGGGGGAGCGGCCCCGGGGCCCCCCTCAGTCCCTGGGCCCCCCTTGGCCCCTGGGTCCCCTCGGCCCCTGGGCCTCCTCAGGTGCCGGGGCTCGAGGGGAGCGACCCTCGGGTGCCGGGGGACTTGAGATGGGCAGGTTTGCTGTTCTCAAGGAGTTTCTGACATGCCGAAAACACTTCTACACATTTGCTACACTCCACAGCTTGTTTCTTCTTCCTGCTTCTTCACACGTTTGGGGCTTTCTCTTTTTCTTCTCCCCTCCTCCCTGCCCCCCGCCAAAAAAAAAAAAAAGTTTCAGCATTACTCCCTCTCCCACGCTGCTCCCCTTTCTGGGGGGGAAAAGCCCCACAGCCTGAACGCTTTGGTGTGCCTGGTAACGAGTGTTGGTTTAAAATTAGATGCAGCGTCAGCTGTCACTGCACCGTGCGATCGCCGGCATAGCGAGCGCTCGGGGTGGTGGTTGGAAAAAAGTGACCTCCCGTGTTCTTGGCACTGTGGCTTTTTGCTTGTTATTCGTCTGCAGAGCAACTGGCTCAGTTCTGCTTTTCAGAAACTGATGAAAAACTTAATCTAATAAAATTATAATACAGTAAAAGTTATTGCTTCAGTAGAAATACCATCGATATGCAAGTGCGATGAACTTGAAATGCCTTCAGTTGTTTTTACTTTACTTAAAGTACTTAACTTGCCTCCTGCATTGAGGGGCTGTTTGGTGACAAACCAGAAAGTATCAGCTTGGAGAATAAGTTAATTATTTAGCAACCCATCATTTAAAAAATCTGTTAAAAAATAAAAAATACTTCACATTTTCTGCATTTACTGAACAATTATTGAAAGGTATATTGGAGGGATCTGAGGTAAAATTCTGAAATTCTCCATGCATAATTGATTAATCTATGAATTTATTAGTTCATCAGTGATGAATTCAAAGATAAATCAATCTATATGTTAATGAAATAAGGGTCTCAAAATGGCACTGACTTATGTTTGGGAAGGAGAAAATTGTGTTCAGTCTTTTAAAATGTAATGAACTCTTCCTTCAGTAATATCCCTGGTAATACAGAATTATAAGAATCTAGTTTGGAGGGTGCATCTATCAAATACCAGCACTGCTGTATCGCATTTTGACTTATCTGTGTATAGTGACTTCCTCCTCATGCAGTGCTGTCATATTAGGAATGTGAAGGTGGGAGGTAGGGATTTGAAAAGATTAATTTAAACATCAAAGAATTATCTAATCACAGAAAGCAAGTAATTTTTAGGAGTCATAGTACTTTCTGTCAGTGTTTTCAGATGTTACTTATTCATATTTATTATTTTCTCTCCTAAGGACTTGAAAGCACTTGATAGCATGTGAGAGCTGCTAATTGCGTGCGAGCTGGGAGTAGCTGTGATGAGAGGAAGGGAGCGGCAGGCAAAGTGAACCAGCCTTGTTCTCTTTATTCCACTTAATTTGGTATGAGCTGTGTATAATGGTCTTCAGGAAATCAAACTCTGCATCCTCCTGATTATGTTGGTCAAAGCTGTGTGCTGGGCAGGCAGGCTGGCTTGGCTCATTTGCAGCCCTTCATCTGCTGGTCTCAGCTGTGGGCATGAGGAAGAAGTTGTAGTTCTGTGTGCAGGATTTTACTGCAGGAATTTCCAAGGGCAGAGACCATTGCCACTTCTTTGCCTCCATATTCCCACTGACTGTTCTCTGGAGAAGAGAAACTCTTTCTGACACAGAAATTTTTCAGCTCCTTTAAGATGTCTGTGTCTGGTGATAGGTAAATTCATTGACATGGACCTTACCTTCTTCTCTGCCAAAATTCTGTGCTGAAGAAATATTGCATGAGAAAATGTGGAGACCAGAGTACTCATCTTGAAAGTTTGAGGTGGGTGTTAAGTTCCAGGAAGCTTCAGATAAAAAAAAGAGAACATATTACCTTTGATTCTCCCAGCTGTCACCATCTAGCCCTAATATAGTGGTACTATAGTGTACTCTGAGTGATCTGAAACCAATAGAAAGTGATGTGTTGCTCAATGTACAGGAAGGGTTTTCATTGTCCTCCCACAATCAAATGGAAAATTTACTTTCTTCTGATAATACTTGAAAACAGTTTTATTTTTTTTTTATCACTGCAAGCTGTATAAGCCAGTTTATAGTATCAGGCTTGGTAAACTAAGTTTCACTAAGTGTCTTCCTTCTATCAACACTTTGTGATAACTGCCAAGTAAATAGTGTCAGACTTGACTAAATGCTTGCAGAAGGTTGAGGAGAGTTCTTTATGTTGATGCTTACTGCACTGCAGGCCACCTTTATTATAAAATTGAGACCAATCATACAGCTTCAGTCTTACTAAGGGCAAAACTTCCACTTCCAGTACAAATTCCATCACAGATAAACACATTTTTGATGGCTGCAGTGATGAGAAAACATAAAAGCAGCATCAGGAAAGCATACATTTTTCTCACCTTGAGTACAATATTTAATCTTTTTTTCTGGTGATTTTCTTTTTAATTTGTACTGCTTTGTCCAGATATGCTCTTCTCTTTCTGTGTCCATCTTAGCTTCCTGCTTATTTATTTCTATTTTAACAGTACTCCTTAATTCACATCCCAAATAATTTTGTGTCCTACATTGTTTAGTTTCCTGTACTTGCAGGTAGGTTGTATATATCTCTATGTGGTATTTGACCTTGTGGTTCTTTGAATTTCGGTGGGTTTTTTTCTTTATTAATTTCTTTTTGGTGGAGGAGGAGCTAAGGATGACACAGGAGAGGTAGTGTTGGTGTTATAGAAGTAATCTAAAGTCTAAAGATGTAGTTTATTTTCAGGCTTTCCTTTGAGATGCTGAAGAGGCAGGTGTGAGCAAATGATATTTTCCTCAGGTTTGTTCTCTCTTCCTGTAGTGGCCAGAGGACTGCAGTAGGGCTTAACTGTCTGAACCCCATGTTGTGTATAGTGAATTAATGCTAGGGGGTAATTTTGGTTTGGTTTGGTTTTTTTATTCTCTGTAAAAGCACATTCCATTTTCATAACAAAAGGTAGTGGTAATTAGAATCATAATTCTAATGAAGAGGCAGGTGTTTACAAAAATATTTTCTTGCATGTTTTGAAGTCCCTTAACTATCTGTGTTGAAGTTTATCAGATTAAAATCATAGTGTAAGAAGTACTCCCTCTTTTTCCAGAAAGGAGTCATTTTGGCATATGCAAATAAGTATTTACAAGTAAAAATGTATTTAGCATATTTGCTTTAAGTGTGCATAAATTATAGGATGAACCAGCTGAAATGAAAATCCTGTATCTTTTTGTACTTTTTATTTCAGACACTTCTGAGAATTCATCAGCACTCTATGTTGTAAATGTTGAAAGAAATGGAAAAATTATTTATACCTGGAAGGTAGGTCCACCTTGGAATTTAATAAAAATATAGTTGAGAATAATACTCTGTGTGAACCTAATTGAGTTCTTGTAGTTTAATTTTTTTGAAGTAAGTGTTAGAACATGGAAATACAACTGATTACAGCCTGGGGGGGGGTTGGGCAGTGGGAAAATACCTGTCTCCACTTCAGTCAAAGGTTAAGAATGATGAAATGGAGAGTAAAGTACTCACTTAAGTCCATAGGGTTTTTGCCCTTGATTTTTTGCTGGCCCAAAATCTCCCCATGAATGAAATGCAATTTCTTTAAAGCACTTATGAAGTGCTTTAAAAACATAGAATTTCACACTCAGTTTCTTAGTGAAGCCTAGCTATTAAATTCATGTGCAGTGCTTTAGTTAAATGTTTTCTCCTGCTAAAATGTCTTAAGATACCATTTATCTAGCACTTTTTCTGCATATACTTTTCTTTAAGATTCATCTATAACACTATTTTGCAAGTAGTCTGAAATGATCCTTGTTTATTTGATGTCTTGAAGTATCTAGAGCTGGCTTCTTAACATAGGATTCTGCTCTTTATATGTTTTATTTTTACTTCCAAATGGGTTTTCTAATGGTTTTAGAAAGTGAGATTTTGTCTTCTCATTGTTCTTTTGATGAGACAAGCTGTGTTTCTTGACTGTGCAGCTCAGAGGAGTCTGTAGATCCAGCTGGATCCTGGAGGATCTTGGTTCTTGAGGTGTACAGAAATGAGATGAACTGCAGTAGAGTAGGGGTGCCTTTCATTCCTCTCTGGCTCAACAATGCTAAAACTCTCCAGCTTCCCTAGGGTTAAGGGAAGAGGTGAGGCCTTCACCAAGGCTTTAACTTTAATATGCTTTCACTGTGGGTGGATGTTTCCTTTACTACAAGCATAGGGAGGGGAGTCTGTACAAGACAACAATAACCATAAAAACAATTCTAAAGAGTGTGTCAAAGTTTGGGGTTTTTTTCATTGCTTAAGACTCTACAAGACTTAATACTTAAAACTATGTAGCTCAGCAGGAGATCTGGTACTCTGTGTGTGTGGTGTTGCTGCTTTGTAGCACCTGTGGAATCTCACACTAGGCTTTTTTGGGCCTCTGACAGTCTAAATGCCTTGTGTGCTCCTCAGGCCCTTGCTGGCACAAGGGGTGAGCTGTAGCTCCAGGTTCACATGGCTAGATGTAGGTGTGTGCCTGCATGCTGGGTGTTTAGGCTGCCCCTGGAGCCTGTAGGGTTGTGGCCAAGGCAGCTGGTGGAGCTTAGGAACTGGCCACTGCAGCCTGTTCTTTGGGAGGAGGTGTGTGGGGTGGAGGGTGTAAGCTACACTGAGCTGGCCTGGCTTGTTTCCTCATGCCTACAAATAGAAAACAACCTTTGTCTTTTAAGTGAGAGACAGTCAAGTGTATTCTGTGTGAAACCAGGGGAAAGTGGACACTGAGTTTTATTTCAAGCTTATTTTAGAGTATTGTGTTGTACTGTGGTTTTGACAGTGTCTATATTTTGTGCCATTAATAGTTAATGCAAAGGAAGATGTTTTTAACAGAAGTGAATTCTATTTGCAAGGTAATGCAAGAATCTTCAGAGTGCACATGAAAACAAGTGTCCTAGTTTATGCCTAGTCATGGGCATTGATGTAGTTCTGTCACCAGTCTTGTGAAGTGTATTTTTCAGTATCTAAGTAAGATGGTGTTAACATTTCAAACACACTTGAAAAAAAAAAAGTTATTTGTGAAAGCACTTGCTTAATCTTAAATTAGGAGGCCTGGAGCCTGTGTTTTAATATAAAGACATTTTGTTTTCCTTGTTTAAATCAGAAGTCAAAGACTTTTGTCATTGCCACAACAATAATGACACACTTAGAAATAGACCCCTTAGGAAGCAAATACTCAGGCTTTTGTTTCAACTTCACAAAGCACGATGCCATAAATTTGTAAATAACCACAGATCTCTGCCCTCTCCCCCTAAGCAATTGTTAAAAACAATGAAGCTCACTGTGGAAGTAGAAGCCTGTGTGGCTGGATTTAATGTCAGTAGTTTAGCAATTTAGTGCCTATACCCAGAGCACATTAATACACATCAGTTTGATTTGCTATCCAGTATATGCTGAGAAGCAGAATTTTCTTTTTTAATATGTTTGGAAAATTTAAGGTATGGTAAAAATTAAGAAGTAGTAAAGTTTTGATTTGTAGTCCCAAACATTTGTAAGTGCCTCGAACAAAATCATCATATATTATTTATCAGTAAGCTAGAAAGGATGTATATTATGTTACTCTTCAAAGGCAGAAGGCTAATGGTGAGCTTATAAAATACTTAGCCTTCAAACAATCACTTCCTAAGGCAGTGAAATCCTTTTTCCAGGCTACAGCCAGATCACTGGGAGCTGATTTTTGGTGATGTTTGATGGTTCTGTGCTCCCTTTTGACCACTAAGTTGGTGAGGTTCAGAATTCCAGCCTTAAACCTCCAGGGGCCAGAGCATCCCTATTGATTCTTGTACAGACATCTCTCTTCCTGGCCCTATTGCCTGTGACTAAAACCAGTTTAGAAGCAAAGTGAGAGAGAGGCATTAGGTTTCTGCAATGGCTTGTGGGCTGGCCACATTTCAGCTTTATCCCATGTGTTAGTTCTAAAAGGAAAAAATAAATCTTTTGTTCTCTTGGAATTAGAATTTGCTTTCTTGGAATTAGATAATTAACTGCCTGTTTATTTATAGGAGAGGGAAGTGTGTGAGGGTGTGTGTCAAGGGGCTGGGAGACCAGGGAGGTAGGGAAAAAAAACCCCAGTGTTTAACTTTGTGTATATTTATATTGCTGTTTGTTTCCATCCATAGGGAAACCAGAGAAACACTCACATTGGATTGTATGATCTGCAAACGAAGCAAAACGAGGTGAGAGCAATACCAGGTTTCTCTCTAGTGACAACTGTGCTGTAGTGTTTCAGATTTTGATGCTTTGCAACACAGTATGTTATGTCCTTAAGGGGTGTATCCTTGTTGGAAACAGAAAATATGGGATATTGGAATGATTCTCAGTAGTGTTAGAATGCACCACATTGCAGAACATCTGAGAGGCTTGAGAATAGTAAAGCATCATGTCTGCAATCTTCATTTCTAAATAACCTTTTAAACAACAAGTCCTTTCCACCTCTCTTCATATTGCATACATGTGCCAAGAAGTAAATGTTTGGGGTTTTCTTTATATGTGTTTATTCTTGGTCTGTTTGCTGATACCGTTATAAGAGATTATTTTATTCTAAAACTGAACACATTGCAATTCAGTAACTAAAATCATGACAAGTTTTTGAAGGTATCCCCATAGTAGTATGAAATGAGTGAAATTTTGTATTTATTTAAAGGTCTGCTATGCTCTAGTGGCAACATAGAGCTCAAAAGCACCATTAAAAAACAAACATGAGGAAAAGGAGAACTATTATAATGGAAACTTGAAATGTGGTTCTTCTGGGCATGAGAAGATATGGCTTAAAGATAAAAACTGTGGGACAGCAGTGTTTTCCTAAGAAGCAATTAGATGGTTTCCTTTATGGAGTTTGAAAAAGCACAGTTATTAACATTACTGCATTTCTCTGTAGCACCTCTATATGTTTGAGAAGAATCTGCACATAATCAGCTGTTCAATCAACAATGAAAGGACCTTATTGGGTAAATATGTGCTTTATCATTAGATTTTTTTGGTCCAGATTTAGTTTAGTAGGATGATACATTTGGGTTTAGAATTACTTAAATGTAATTAAGTGTTAATTAAACCTATGTGTTGCCCACAGCAGTTTATGAATTTCTGTGGATCCATCATCAGATAACGTAGGTAACAACATAAGGACACAGCTGTGACAATATTGCTGTTTTAATAAATCATCTAAGACACACTGCCCCTTTGTTCACTTTCTCCTCCTGCATTTGTGCATACCGGCTACATCTAGAAGAGCTTCTGACATTCCTTTAACATAAATGTTTTTGATAAAAGAATTGGTATGCTCATTCTTCAGGGATGTTTGATAAGATTAATGTCCAATATGCACACTCACTGTGGTTGTGTTGGTGTTTTCTCCCCCACAGCAGTCAGCTTCTGTCAATATACAGAGGAAGAAAGAGCAGCTCAGCTCTTACAGTCAGGTACTGCAAGTGGATTTCTTAATACTGTTTGAAATATTGTATCTTTTCTCTTTCTCAGGTATTTCTGTTTAAAAAACAAACTTGCTTACATCAAAGAATATTATCTAAAACTTGTTCTTTTTGCAGTGTCCAAGTATTTAACCTTGCTAATTGAAATTCATCCCATTAACAATGTGAGAGTGCTAAAGGCTGTGGATAGCTGTGTTCGAGTACAGGTAAAGTATCCAACTAGTCTGAAGATAAGCCAATTTAATCTGCTGTGCTAGAGAGAAAACATGGTTTAGTGCAGAAATATCTCATGTTATCTTGCAACTGTTACAGAGATAATGTTCTCTTCAGAGAAATAAAAAATGTCATAAAATGAAACTTAATAAAATGTTTGGTATAGAATATTTCTCCAACATGAAGGCTACTTTTTTATTTCTCTTCAGTCTTCCATAGTTTGCAGTTATAGTGACTGGTAACTATTAGTATGTAATAATAGCTATTTTTATTAATTAAATATCATTAGTGTGTCTGATTAAATTTAAAAATACATAAATACCCAGCTGAAAAAACCAGAAAAAAAAATTAGATAAATGTTCTAAACTACTTTGGTTTTTACTTATTCTGTGAAATTTTCTGTATAGTTTCTTTATCCAGTTGAAGGCAGAAATGCTTCTAGAGAAAGTCGTCTCTTGCTAGTTTCAGAAGATAAATGTGAGTTAATGTTTTCAAAGTACATTGTCATTCTTTTACTTCAAGATGATTGTTATAGATTGTATTTTTGGTAGACTTTTATTGGGGAAAAAAACCCAGGAAAAAGAAGGGTGTGAGTTATTCTAGGTATTCCAAAGGTCTTTCAAAAACTGTATAATTTACCAGGTTTTTTTTCAGTGTTAAAAGAATGGCCATCTTTGTCTACAGTTAGTTGCTTAGCTCTTGCATTCATCAGGTATCTTTATTTCTAAAAAAGCTAAAACAGACTCCTTATAGCTGCCTACATAAATCCAGAGCAAATTAATTGACTGAAAGATGTCATTTAACATGGGAAATGGGACAAGAATAGAGCAATAGTTCCTTGGACTCAGCTAACATTGCATGTTCAGCCTAACCTAATGGTAGGGAATGGATGAAATGGACATTTGGAAAAGACTGAATTTTCCCTTCTTATTATAGAGTGAGATCTCTTATTCCATCCCCTTGGAGAGGCCCATCTTCCCTGAGCTAGAACCAGCCTTGGGAAGGTGGCCCTAGGTGGACAGAGCTAAATCAGAAACACAACATCTGGGTGGGTGTTGCACTTCTCATGCAGGCCAGCTGTGGATAACTTCCAGCAGTTTTGTGTGGGAAAGGGCTGTGAGGAATGTTCATGGCAGGAGGGGAAACAGGTCAGGGATGCTCTTGGGCATGGGCATGCAGCTCTGCAGACTCTTTCTCTGCATGGGGGCTCCTTGGCTTGGTTGGGACATTCCAGTCACTGCTCCTCAAGCCTGGGCTGGGCTGGGCAGGGAATTCTGTCCATGAGGTGTTATGGCTGAGGCCACTCTCAGCTCAGGGGAGGAAGAGACTCCAGGTCTCTGTGTAGGCACCTGTGCTCATGTGTCACAGATTTCCTCTTGAACTTTCCTGGCCCTAAAGTGTTCTTACAGAATTCTAAGAGGTGAGCTTGTTTAATGAGCTGTATAAAAGCATTTAAAAATGTTTGTAATGATTTTTTAAATTTTATTTTAAAGATATTGAACAATTTGACATTCATGTTGTTGCAGAAGAAGAACGCAAAGTGGTAAGATTCAAAAATCTTTGGGTTGGAGGGGTTTTTAAATTAATTTAGCTGAAAGTTTTGAATTTTTTTTGTGTTATGCTTGGGCAACACAAAGTTTATTAAAGAAAGCATTGATTACTATGGCAACTTATGCAGATGACCACAAAGCTGATTGAAAAACTTTACACCTTGTAATCTATGAGGAATTTTTTTTATTTTACTGGGTTTGTCATGTATTACTGAATGCTTCTGAGTGTTAGAAGTTGGGAGTAAACATAGTGTTTATTAATTTAAAAACTATTTTAAATATTTGCAACCATTTAAAATATTTTCAGAGTTGCCTTCCTAACCTTGTCTATTGTGAGTCTGTGTGGAGCCAATAGAGGATTTACTTAAAAATCAAATGAACAGAAGATGTAAAACTTAGATACAGTCTGAGTACAGTGAATGTTCCAATCTCTGTTTCCCCTCATCTCTTTTTCTAACATGAGTTTGGCAAAAAATTGTGGATGTTCTTCTTGAAAGACTTATTGTTAATGAGCACTTGTCTAATAATATAATAAAATAATGTCTAATATTGTAAATGATTGTGTCATGAAAGCCAGTGTTTTGTGTTATGGAGGTGAATGTAGTCTTTGAAGGAAAAGTTTAGGACCTGATTTTTGTCCCTTTGTAATCTTTCATGGTTTTTTCAGTTTGTCATAACCCTTTAAGCAGATGCATTTTATATGCTAGACTACAGTAGTGGATTTAAGTATAATCAGAAAACACATTGATCTGATGTCCTTACAAACAGTTTTGTTTTGGTTGACATGAAATCTCCCTGTATCATGCAAGTGTGCATGGATACAATCCCAACAGTTTTCCACAGTTCTAGCCTTTTCTCTACTCCAGCCCTCTCTCTCACATGGCTGAGACTTGGATAGAAATCTCTTTTGGAGCTGACCCATTCCCTTCAGTAGTTAATGTAGCTGATTCTGAACTGACTGTGGTATTTCCCTCCTCTCTGAGGAAGGGTGCCTCTGCTATTCTTCGTTCACTTTGAGCAGTTTAAGTGGTGAATTTCTTGCAAGCAAGGAAGACTGAAAGAAAAGATTTGTTAGTAGGTGCACTCTGAAAACTGTGCTTCTGATCTCTTTAAACTCAGCACCTTGCACACAACAAAGGTGGACTTCATGCTGCTGACAAGGAGCCTGTTCCTTCCAACCTCCTTGCTCTTTGTGTGTGTTCTCTCACTGCTTTTCTCTTTAAAGCACAGACTGTGCATAATTGTTGCAAAACTTTATTTGATGGCTTCTAATGTTTTATTCTTTCCCTGTAGGTGGTTCAAAAGTCAGGTCAGCTTCCAAGAGTCAAAGTTGCAGATGACCTCGTTTGGGCACAGTGGGATATGATGGAGCAAAGACTCTTCTACATTGTTCCAAAGGTGAGCTGAAAGTCATTCTTGCAGTTTTCTTCCTGCCTGCCTGGTGACAGTGAAGTTTTAAGTGTGTGGAGTAGCAAGTAGGTGTTTGTTTTCATTAGGCTGGTCTTTCTTGTTCTTGCCTTGAATAACCTAAAGCAAAAGCCAAACTTGCTGTAGCTGCTGTTGTGCTTAGTACATTGCAAGAAGACTGGTGGTCTTAATGCTTTCTATAAAAAAGGTGGGCTTGGTTATTTCTTTTTTTTCTTGTTTTAGAAAGGTCTTTTATTCAAAAGTATCTAAATCTATCCAAAACTGCTGTGGGTATAATGCCTCTCTTCTAGGGAGTTCACATCTCGAAAGTATTTTGTGTGCAGACTTACTGAGAGACCAAATGAGGACAGATTCTTGGCAAAAAGCTTTGAAACTCTCAAAAAAACCCAGGGTTTGGGTTTTTTATTTTGTCTGAGGGACTAATTGCACTTGATGCATTCTCTGCAAATAAATATAAAAAATTTTCTTTACTCTTCTTAGCCACGAGAAGAGTGAATGTTAGGAAATAACAGGAAGTGAACTGTGATGGAGAAATGTATTTATGTTTTTGTGTCTGAGATACCCATTTTGAACTGACTAAAGCAAGATGCAGTTCTTTTTGCCATATAGGTAGATATGGAAAACATTTTTTAACTTTCTAAAATGTGTGAGACGTGTACTGCTGTGCTGAAATGAGAGCCCACGCAATTATATATGATTGGCAGATAATGATCAGGGACAGGAAGGAAGCATGTCACAGTGCTATTGTGAGGGATTATATGTGGTTTTTTATTTCTTTTGTCCCCTAACTCTGCATAGCTGTTAGCAATGCAGGTTGAGTGTGAAGAAGGGTGCTGAGTACCCAGTCACTTCTCAGTCTGTATAATATCCTTTCTTACTTACAAAACACATTCTTTTTAATTCCAGGAATCAAAGAGTACTTTAAGGTGTGTCCAGTTTTATCCTGAGGAAAATTTTAATTCAATAGTAAGTTCTGAGTATTTTATTATAAATGGTTTACAGTGGGATGTAATTATGTTTTCCAGGTAATGGTACAGAGATCTTTTGTCTTATTCATTGTTGAAACTTTTTCAAAGGAAAACTGGAGTTTTTTAGGATTTTTTTGCATGATTTTCTTGTCAAGAATATATTCAGTGAGACTCAGATTTTTCCCCACAGTAAGGTAACTTTATTGGAATTACACTTTTTTTGACCTAGAAGGCTGTAAGTGACATTCATGACACTACTGGACTTATACTTACTTATTGAAAAGCAGGCTTAGCAAGTGCACTAGACAAAGAAACCATGTGATTTTCTGTCAGTTTTAAATGAGACAGGAACATTTATTGCAGCCAAAATACAAAAAATAGAACATAAAAATTACAACATGTGATTGTTACTAGACCTTTGTTCCAGTCACTTTTATTTTCTCTTTTTAAAAAAGAATCTGTTTTATGGAGGTTTTTGAAGTGACTGTAAGGATTAGAGGAGAATAAATAAACTTGTTAAAATATTGAATCTGGTTAAATGTGACTATGACACATTTTACTGGTTTGAAATGCTACACATACTATATTGACCTCTGTAAAGAACAGGTTTGTTTTCCTTTTTGTTTAACAGCTGGAATCACACCTGGATATTGCTGTAAATGACACACAATTAAAGTAAGTTGTTTGGTTTTTTAATGTTTTGGTTTGCTTTCCTTTCAATATACATGGTAACATTTTACAAACCTAAGTAAAATTTGTCCAAACCACAATGTCTTTGTTTGCAGTTGCCTACATGGCACTGGAACATGAGAATGACATGAAAACTGTGTCCAGACCTCCAGTTCTTATTCTCATCGGGGTCATCTGTAAAAAGTAATTTAATCCTTGACTGCTTCTTAATTTTTGTAAATGACAGTATTTGTCTAAAGAGCTAGCTATGGGTTAAACCTTCTGAGTATGCTGAACCTATTTAAATTAATTTGCTTTAACCTTGGGCAGGTTTTAATGGTGATGTTAAAATATCTGTCAAGGGAAGCTCTGCATTTTTAATTGCTGTTGCAAGTTTTATTGGGCAGTTAAACAAACCAGTAGCACCTTTTTATGGCCTGTGAAGACACTGCCTGTACTCTGTTCTCCTCCAGCATGCTCCTTCCAGCAGCCTGCACTTGCAAAGATGAAGATTTGTCTGATTCTGTGTCTGCCATGCACATGACTGCATCTGAGCTTGTCTCCTGAGGGCTCCCTTTTAACTGAGGGGAAAAAACTAGTCAGGATGGTTTAACTCTGTCACAATCCTCATCTGTCTTTACATTCCAAAAGGGCCCATTTATTTTTGTGACTAAAAAGGTGGGGCAGAGCTGTTAGGCCAGGTATCAGTAGCTGAAGGTGTTTTAGTTCCACCCTGCCCAGCTGTGGTCTCAGAATGTCTCAGTGCTGTGCATAAGGCTCAGTGGTGCTCCTGCATGTCCAGGTTGTTGGTGCTGAAAGAACACAGCTCTTGTAAGAGCTTCAATGCTGTATTTTGCTTTATTTTATTGGTTTTCCAAATTAATGCAGAAGACCAAGGGGAAAATCCCTACAGGATCAATATACTTCCTGGCAAAAAATACAACCAAACAAAAAAACCATCCAGCAAAAAAAGCCCAAAGCAGACTGTCTACAATCTTCTGCTGCATGTTTTCCAGGGTGAAAATAAGCCTTGTAGATTTAAAAATATGTAAAATCATTAAAACACAGGCAGCATGGGACTGAAAATATCATGGTATAACAAGTTCCATGTGAGTGTGATTTTGAGCTTTTCTTTTCAAGTATTTCCACTGAAGGTAGTGTCCTTATTGCAGATTAAATAAGGGGCTGTACAGTTAGTCTGCAAAACCTCTGAGTTATTAGGTGTCACAAGTACTTGGATTTCCAGTATGTCATGACAACTTGCTTTCACTTCGAAGTGTAGGAATGGTTGGACAGTGCAGTAAGTGAATATGAAATTGTCAGGTACGTTCAAAATTGGTGGATAACAGTGTGCACTCTTGGGATTCCTGTTTCTAACAGGATTGAGGAAATTGGTTAAAGCCCATTTTAACTTGCATTACAGAACATTTGATTATAATTTAATTAGTATATTTTGGTTACAGAGTGACTGTTCTGGTGATCTTTTTGTTGTGATAAATCTCTGTGGATGAAGTGATTTACTTAGTGATCTTTATTTCCTCATAGACTTGTGAATTTTGGATATGATTATTGTCAAGATCAAGATGTTGCATCTAAATCTTTGAAAAACCTTCAGGTTTTCACAAGTAAAGCAGGTAATGAATAAATACAAATATGGTAAAAATTATGCCCACTAGTAATTATCATGCAGTGTAATCCTAATTGATTACTGAATTTATTCATAAAATATCAGAAAACACACCCAAATACAAAAATTTATAATGTGAGGGTGAGATTTGTATTCCTTTAGAGCACACTTGGCAGGTAACTGGAAGGAGAGGGAGAAGGCAACTGTGCTTTATTAGTATTAATAAATTTCTTACCTTCTGAAAGCTGCAGTGAAGTTGAGCTGAAGTACCCAGAGTTTTATATATCAACCTACCAACAAGAAAACAGTCACCCAGAAACCTTTTGGTAGCCCAGCTTCAAAGAACTGGTGCCAGTGAAATCTCTCAGTCTAAGAGCGCCTTAGCATTTTCCTGGCAGTTTCAGAACCCAGCAGGTACCAAAGCATGACTGTGTGTTACATTAAAGCAATGTAATGTTAAAGCTGACCACAATTATGTTAGAAAGTAAATTCAAGGAAGGTTTTGTCTGGGTTTCTGATCTAGGATATATTTGTGTTACAGAGGGGACATATGTACACAGAGCATGTGCAGTGCAGGCTTTAAGAGCTTCATATTGCTGATAGTGTGTGGTGTTTAGAAGGTCCAAGTATGTGATACTAAACTGACATGCTACTCAGGGATTTAGTATATATATGATTCCTTAAACTTAACCCTAAAATGTTTCTTAAACCTTTAGGATTTTGGAGTCTCCCTCCATCCTAACATATGCCATGAGCTTTTTTGGATTAAGAACTGGTCTCAAGAGGTGTCTGTTCATCACAGCTGTTTTCAGCTTCTCAATTAGACCATCCAGGCAGGCAGAGATGGTGTCTGTTTAACCTGTGGCTGGTCAGCAGAGCTGTACAGGGAAGTGTTGCAGGGGAGGCTGTTCATGTCCCTCCCCAGGGCCTGCTGTGCACACAGGGACCTGCTGAGCTGTCTGCCCCTTGCACTGAAATGACCATTAGTGCAAATCGAGTGAAGCACAGCTTCCTTACATGGATTTCTTTTCTTACCAAGGCAAGCTGCATGCTTATAGAGATTAGAGGGAAGGAATTAGAAGTAAGAGAAAGCCAAGGTTCTATCTTTCAAATGTAGATTAGGCTTTTTCTCTGTTAGCAAGACAATTTCTTATATAAACAGCCAGTCCAATAATAGAAAAATTATTTATTTATATATATGTTTCCTTTAAAAACCTATACTCCTCTGGGGAGTAGTATATTCAGATTGAAGTACCTCCTTGAGTTTAGGATGAAATTCAGTCATCCTCCAACAAGACTCTTGTTTAGTTACTGTGAAGCAAAATGTTTTTTTCTGTCTGGTGACACACAAAGTCTGTGTGGAACCTTTCTAAAGCAAAAGCAAAAGTGCTTTTCATTGCACTTACTGTAAAACAGATAATTTGACAATTGCACTTAAATGAGATTACTGTATGTGGCTTTTCCTTGAATTTTGTTTAAAACTGAGGATTACCTTGCACAACCCATTTTTGATAACTAACAGTTTGGACCAAGTTATTTTGGTGCTAAAACCATATCTGGTTGTTGAAGAATACTGTTGGTAATAACAGTAAAGGTTTCCTTTTGTGCCTCAGGGGTGATTGGCAAAACTGGACTGCAAGTTCTTTGTGGAGCAGACTGTGCCTGCTGTGGGCCTGCTAGCACAGCTCTGATATTAATGCCATATCCCTGCTTGTACCATTCAGACATCCCTGGCAAAGTGGAACTGGCAAAACTTCAAACTGGAATATTCCATACAATTTCCCATTTAATAAAACTCTTATTGGCTCCTGCCAGTCTGAGCTCTGAATAAAATCACTTTTCCTTTCTCAAACTTCTGCAGCAGAAAAAGTAGCTCTGTTCCTTACACTCAGCACAGACAAAGTATCTCCAGGTAAAAACCCCCATGTAATTCTTGAATACCTGAGATCAAGTAGTTCCAGTCTCAGAATAAACTTGGCATGTCCAGAATTCAGTGGTTATTAGATAAACACTGTACTGTTATGTGTTCTCTTAGTGCTTTAGAAATATTTTTCCATTGAATTTGCACAATATTTAAAAAAATGCAGGCAGTAAGAGGTCACAGACACTGGATTTCCATCGGCTAACTATTTGGACTATGCTTCTAGAGAGAAATAGGCATCTCCAGAGGATGACTCAATCCATATTTCTTTGTTTGCTGAATAAGAGTCTAAATGAGAGATGTTTGGATGGCTGAGGTTAAGTGAGGCAAGTCCCTCCTAAGTACACCAAGACAAAATGCCCTGATGCAATGTTGTATTTGAGTTGTGACATTTGGATGCTTTGTTGGGATGCTGTTACAGCCTTATGTGTTGAGTTTTTGCTTGAACAGAAATGAGGAATTTAGTTAAAGTTTCCTAGGGAAAACCTAATTTCTGCATAGCGTAGGTGACTGTTGTGGTTTCAGTGGGCTGACTTTGTCAAGTGCCAGAGTAGAATTTAATTTTAAAATTCTGCTTCTTTTCTCTTTCTCTTCTTTTCTTTCTTTTTTTTTTTTTTTTTTTTTTTTTTACCTTTGTGGTCAAGATCTTTTTTCCCTTTTATTTCTGGAAAGATAACTGTCCATCCAAGTATATCCTCACATGAGTCTTCTCACCTTGCAGCGTTCAGCTACAGCTTTTACTGTTTGCAAATGATTTTGAAGTGAGTAGTGTGGTAGACCTGGCTCTGCATACAGTTGCAATTGGCTGATAAGCTTTCCCTGCAGCAGCACAACCCAGCTCTAATTTGCAGAGAGCACTGCTAAGGGTAGGAAAGGAGTGTGTGATGTATTCTTAGTGTCTGGCTGCCCTGCTGGGATTGCCAGGACTGTGTCAGATGTAACTTTGCTTGGACACCTGTTGGTCTGAGGCTGCCATGTTTCTGTCTGCATTAACAAAGCACCATTTGTTATTTCCGGTTGTTTGTAGCTCACTTTGTTGACACATGGAGCAATATTGTTGAGGTGAAAGATGCACATCCTGTTTATAGTCTGCCATAGCTGGAGTTTCTGTGGTCAGCTTGCACATTGCCCACTGACACTTCAGTCTGAGCACACTCACTTGCCTGTTGTGCAATTTACAGACAGTGTACACAGAAGACTCCAGCGTACAAGAAGGAAATTTGCAGTGCTTGAAGGGAGCTGTTGATAATAAACCAGCAATCCAGTGGGTTGCTGGAACTTCTCCAGTCTTCCTCATGAGTCCTGATGCTGCTACTTTAAAAATTATGCATGTTCTGATAGAAGCCAAGGGCTCTGGCAAAATGCCCTGTCTGTTGTCTGAATGACTCAAATATCCAAGCAAAACTGTATCAAACCATATTCAGTCAGCTAAGAATAAGCAGAAAGAAAAATTGTATCTTAAGAAAGCAGTTACCTTCCCCAGAAGGCAGAAACAAGAACTGTCTCAGCCATATCTGTATCACAGCTATGGTGCAGCCTTGTGGTGTGAAATACCCAGGCATTTCATCAAATAAAGTAACTGGGTACCTGTGCTTTATTTGTACTTGTGCTTTTTCCATACTGTGCCATTTTCTGCATAACTTGTATACACAGCCTTTTATTTTTTACAGAACAGTACCTGTATTAGTGTTACTTTCTTTTCCTCTTTTAAATGATAAATTTCCAGTAAAGGTAAAAGGTGAATGGTCATATTTGTGAATGACATTTCCCAGCTGTATTGGGATAATGTGATTTGGAGGCTGTTTTTAACATGTATGCCAAAGCATCAGAGTAAGGGGATTAAAGTTTTTATGAGAGATGAAAGCAGGGTTACCATCCAGTGGGGTCATAACAGGAGCAATCTGATCTAGAATTATTCTGGGAGTGGGAAACCTTCCTGTATGCAGTACCCTGGCTGAAATAAACTTGCCCCAAGGACTGACTTCTCTCCTAAAAAAGGTAATGGCAGTTCTTTGGGCTGGAAAGGGGAGAAGTGGCTGTCACTTCTAGTGTGAGAAAGCTTTGGTAGTGTATTCATGCTGCTGCCAATATGAGATTACTTGAAAAGCAAAGAAATGGTGTTTTATTATATTGTTGAGCATATCAGACAGCTCCTGAACACAAAATATCCGGATTGAGGCAGTCTGTGGAGAGAAAGGCTTGATCAGTTCTCTGGCTGCAACCATGATTTCTCCTGGAAAGGGCTAAAATGTACTTCCCATAAAAGAAAGAACTGGCCATGACAGGACCCAGCTTTCCATTGTGCCACATTGCCTCCTCTGTTCTTTCTTGATTTTGTTTCATTAGGTAAATGATGATTAGAATCCATAATAGATACTCCTGTAATCTTTACCTTTTTTGAGAGATTATTTTTAGTTTCTAATTTGAAACAGTCTTGATTTGGTTTTATGCAGTATAAAGATATCTTGATGTTCAGCTGGACAAGTGAATTTTCTTTCCCTATTTTGTCTTTTTAGGAGGCTTGTGTGTGTGTTGTAGTCTAGTCTCTGATATTCCTCATGAGATCATATACTCCATATATTTTCTACATAAAGGTAAGACTAACTTGTTAACTTACTGTGCTTTATTTTGGAGAATGTCAGTGTGCTGAAAGAGTCAGAGAATGCCTTTCAAAACAAATAACTACCAAAGTCTGCAGACAATAAGCTACTGTGGCTGCTGTTTCAAGACAGCAGCTGCCTTTAGCTGCCTTTAGCTTTGGCTTTCCTGCTGTAGGCTTCCTGCCTGATGCTGAGTGAGTGGCTTCAAACCAGTGGCCTTGTAAATGGTTATTAATTTGCTCCCTTTTTCTAGCCAGACTTTCCGGCATGCTGAGCACAGACATCAATGAAATCTGTGGGAGCTTGCAGGTGTGTTGTACTTATGCCATAAGGCATTTGTATGGGAAATAGAGCCAACAGCTCTTAGCTTGAATGTCTGTTTAGAATTCCAGTTCAATGTGTCATTTTCACAGCAAGAGGTGCAACACCCACTGACTCTAAGAATAGTTGCTGTGTAAGTGGTGCTGGAGCTCTTAAAGTTAAGACCTTTGTTTTATAATAATAAAGGACATTGTTTTATTCCAATCAGAATAAAAATTCTCAGTATCAAGATTTTCTTATTTGATACATGGACAGAGAGGCAAATTATTTCTCCACTGAGAAGCTGCATAGTGTGGAGTAACTGTGTTCAAGTGCACACTGTGTCTGTGTTCTACCTTAACTGTTTGCTTTCTTGTGTCAGGATGCTTCTCATAGGTCAGAGCTGCACATACAACTTGCTTTGCTGCTGGAATATTGTGGGATTGAGTGAACTACCTTTTTGTGTTCTTGAAGGTGTTAACAAATTGGGAAAAGTCCTTTTTGGGTGTGACACACAGTGCACTGCACTGCTGTGAAGGGCTGATTTCCCCAGACACACCTGACTTGTAGCCAAAGAGTTTTTGGATTGCTTGGAGCCAACCATGGCCCTTGCACATCCTGATCTGTACTAGGAAGAAACTGAGGATAAATATGGTGACATTGACTGGCTAAGTCTGAAATCAACTTTGTGGAATGGAGTTGTTTGGTGCAGAGCTGTTTGTGGGTTCATGTAAGATTCATCAGTTGTACAAGAGAATTTTAATAATGGTCCTGCAGTGACCCCCATAAGCAGCGGTGTATTGGGTCCATTACTCACATTTTGGAGGCCATAAGCCATATTTAGAAGACATTTAAGTTCAGTTTATTCTGCAGCCTCTGTAATCTTGGCTGGAAGCTTCCCACCCCTGTTAAAGCAGTCACTGCAGCATAAACAGAGAAGTCACGATGCTGCAGTTGAATTCTGCAGTGCTGGTTTTAGCTTGCATGTGCTCATGCTGGCAAGTGACAGAGTGGTGATGGGGAGTATACTGACTCACTGCAAGCTAACTTCAGCCACTATTTTGTATAAAAAACTATATCTTTTGACACCTCTGCCTCTGTAGTGTGGCTGTTGGTGATTTTTCTCTTGGAAGTCCTGTAAACTGTCGATCTTATCTTGAATTTCCATGCATTATTAAATAGGATCCTGGTCATGACACCATTAGTTACTAGAATCTTCAGCTTTTCTCAGAGAAAATTTGAGGGCATTGTGTCATTCTTACTGGGTGCCAGAAGTGTGGTAGAAATCTAGATTAAAACAACAGCTGTGCTGATGCAAAGCCCATGCAAACACAGCAGGTCTGAAATTGGCCTTTGTATAAACTGAGCTGAACTAAATTAGAGCAATAGGGCATGTAGATAAACAAAGTGGAAATTCTTTAAAGCAATTGAAAGATCACCAAAATGTGAAACACAGCTATATAAAGGATTTGTGTTTGGGTTTTTCTGGGAGAAAGGTATTTATTATCCCAGAGCACAAGCTTGCTCTGGGATGGAGTGCTTCTCTAAACACAAATGTAGGCTGGGCAGTGCATGGCTAGTTTTCACACACTAAAGAACTGTATTGTGTAGGTGCCAGTCTACTAAGTGTGCAGGAACTCTGTTCAGGATGGATTAAATCTGTCTGTGCAGACAACCCCATAAAGCAAACCCCTGTTTGAGTCTATGGGAGCTGCACAAGTTTCTAGCTATAAAGTCGTAGGTGGATTGTAACAAATGGTATTTATTGTTTGAGGTTTTTAAAGTTGTTTTTTTTTCCCTCAGGTTACAACAAAACTTTTACAGTTTCTCTAGAAAGAGCAGAATCTCATCAATTGAAGGAAGTGGCTTTTATGAATCTTGGTAGGTTACTTGTGTTACTTTCCTGTGTGACTGCCATTCTCTGTGTAGTACGGAGACAAATGGCTAACTCTTCTCTGGGAGGAAAGGAATTTTTTTTACCTTGGCTTTAGGGAGCAGTGTTATTTTGCTGCTTTTCTTCTGCTTACCTTTTGTATTTGGCATTTGATATTGCAATGCCTCACTATTAGTAAGCAGCTTCCTCTGAAATTGCCTCAAAATCTGTGCTGGACACCAGCTGCTGAGTTCTTGAGTATCTCAAGTTTCTTGACTCCTACCCTGGAAACCCAAATGTACTGCTAGTGTTTCCTGTGTTAATACAACAGCAGCTTTTAATTAACTCCTTTTGTATTTCCTAGATATAATCAATTCCTCACAGAGAAGTGGGCCAAGTTGAGAATCATGTGAAAGAGCCTCTTAAAGCAAATAAGTGATCAAGTGCTAAATTGACCACTGTTGTTTCTTTAAATAGACTATTATGTGGCTGCTTATTTGCCTGGCCAGTTCCTGCACCTCCTGAACATTCAACATCCTGACATGCTGTGCTATAGTTTGTTTCTGACAGGTATAGTAAAACTGCTTTAAGTAATTTAATCGCTGTTGTGGAAACTTGTTCATATCTCTTTACATGAAAGTTGTGTTTCTCAATGTTTCCTTATTGCATAGTGTTCTGACAAAGGAAGGATACTCAAAAAATGACATTTTTGCTACTTTCCATTTTAGAAAGAGAAGCTGAACTGGCATTTCATACTTTATGTATTTCATACTTCTTGCTTGTTATGAAATGGAAGAAGACCTTTCACTGAATTTGAAATTCTCTGCCTTGGTTTCACAGTTTCCCTTCCCCCAACTTTGCCCATGTTCTTGGTCCTCCACTGTTTTCAAATTTCACATGAGATGTAAATTTGATTTTACATTTCCTTCCTCCAATTGAGTTGCTCTAAATGTGTGTGTTTGGAGGGTGTGGGGAAAGGAAATCTGTGTTTCCTTCACCTGATCAGGCTGATGCAATTTAATTTAGAGTCTCATCTGAGATGTGTGTTACCTCGTTTCCAACGCATTTCCAACAAACACGTCCTTGTGGGAAGTGGTTTATTTTTGGAAGTGGGGTGCCTTTGTTTGAAAACAGAAATCTGTTGTTCTGATTGGGTGAAGGGGACATAAATTGTGGAAACTGGTTCAGGGGCAGCATTATAGCAAGCTAATACCTGTTTTGTATGTGTAATGAAACACTGTCCTGCTAAAAATGAGTGGAAAGCATCACTGCTGGATGGTGGGCCTGATTTCTCTGATGCAAGGGCTCTGAAGTACAGTACCTGTGTGGTACCATGGTGGTGAACACTGGTACATAAATAAAATGGTTTTGGTCTGAGGCTTCAGTGAATAATTGTAGAGCAGAACCTGCCTGTTCTGGCCATTTGGATTGATGGCAAGAGATCCACCAATAGAAGTTTGTATCATGCTTCTGTATGTGAGCAGTTCTGACTTGCACAAGCTGTACCAATAGGTGCTAATTGTAGTGTTGAACTTGTGCTGCTGTCCTTGTGCTCTGCTCTGTTCCATCACATGTACTCTTACTTACCTTGGAGCAGCATTGTGAGCCTGAAATCTCTACACCTTCTCTGTGTCAGCAATAGGGAAGGAGAGAACTGAGTATGGACTGTGCTCCTTATCTGCTTTCTTTATGGAGCCAGCACCATTCCTACTCCTCTTCAGTATACTACCAGGCAGGTAGTGCAAGAGGCAGACTCTTTCTTATTGCTGGGGGGCTAGGAATCATGAGAGAAACACTGGTAGCAGGAAAATTTTATGTTCTTACTCCTTTTTGTTGTCAAACCAATGTTCTTCAGGTGAGGATGCAAGAATTGACACGTTACAAAACTGTTCCATCCGGTGCCCATGGGTGTCAGCAGCCCTGGACTGCAGTGCAGGAAGTCTGTACCATGTGAGCATCAGTGACAGTGCCTTGCTGCAGCTCCTGCACAAGAGCAAACGAGACTGTGAGAGATTGGCAGCTCTGCATTGTGCCCTGCTCTACTTCCAACACACAGAAGATTTGGAAATGCAGGTGGGGAAAGAACTTCCTCTAAATTTTTTTCCAGTGACTGGCGTCTTACACAAAGCAGGAGCAGGGCATGAATGGCATCAGCCAGAGAGGTCCTGATTCACCTGGCAGTGCCAAGAGGCTCATCAGCTGGGCTGCCCTAAGCCCTGTTATCAGTCCAGGCTGTCCTGAAAACATTTGTGTTACTATCACTACTCCATGCAAAGTGTGAACTACCAAAACCAGATTTTCTGTTCTCTCTTACAACACTTGATTAAACAGAGAGATGTGACAAGCTCCCTGTTCTCATTCTGACAGATTATTCAATGGATTTCTGAGAACCTGTCAACATGTCATTCTTTTGACCCCATTCAAGAATTTATCATTGGTAGGTACTTCTTTTCTTGCATTCTGAGTTTTTCTGCATACTCCAGTTGACACTAAGGAGAGGCCATGGCAGTACAAACTGACTCTTATTTCTGAACTTTTTGGTTATGATTTGTGTTACCTAACCTGCAGTTTGTGCATTAAGAGACAGTATCAGTAGTTTAGAGGATACATAGACATCTCAAATCAGATTGGCAGTAAAGCTTTTCAAATGCATTTTTCTGTCTAATGGAACAAATGGATTTGTCATTATTTTAGATTCTGGAGATTCTCCTTAGCTCCATTCTCCTCTAGGTCTAGCCCAAATAATTTTTTCAAACGGATTTGGCTTATCATGATACTCTCTCCTAATAGGTAGTTTCTCAGTCTAGCCAGTGCAGAGTCTTTGCACAAAGGACCCCTGCAGTGCTGAGCTGTAGCCAAGCAGCTGACCCAGCCCTGCAGCCATCTGGACTTCTCTTCCTCCTTTTGTGCACAGAATGGGACCAGTTCCACAATGGAGGAAGCTGTTTCAGAGACAGCAGCAGGATTTGTCCCTAAAAAAGTGTCAGATAAGGAACAGTGAAGTGTGGTCTTGTTACTGATAGTTTATACAATCTTGCCCTTATAAATCTTTTCACATTACATTCAGCCTCCCTGTACTGCAGACTGTGTCCAGAAACTGAGAACCTGGATAAACTCCTGCCCTACACATCACTGCATGACTGGATTGGGGTAAGATAACAGCTGGTACTTTAATTAATAGCTAGAGGGTCTGGGTTTTTATCCCTTAGTACAGCCTATATCTTGTGTGTCTTACCTTTTCATAGATATGCTACAAATTGATACCTTTATGCCTGTGCTTAATGCCTGTTTTAGTTTGCCAGGTCTTACCCTTGGTGGTGTTTTCCATGAGGCAATTTTTTGTCAACAAATAAAAGCATTTGCAAAGCCAAGAACAGTTATTATAATTGAATGAATGGTTAAATATCTCAGTTTTCATAATGAAGTATTAATTTATTCCTTATCACATGAGGTTTATAGTGAATACAGAATACATTTAACCAGCAAAATCATGCACTTATTTCCAGGACAAACAGAATCTGTAGAGTTAAGATTTACAAGTAAGCTTGAAGAATTAAAATAACTTCAGGCAAGACTTTAGAGCAAATAGTGTCTTAATTTCTCTGCAGTGACACTGTTCTAATATATTGTTTTTCTTAAAAATAAGGGCACAGTTTTGGCTAGCTAGCTAGTTTCCTGGAGGAAATGGGTGATGGAGATTAGATGCCCCATGTTCTATGCTAAATTGAAAGACTATAAATATTTTTTCTGTATTTATAGGCTGTCCCTGGAGTAATATGTGCCACAGATATTATTTCTCTACCTGTGTTAGAGGTAAGTTCTGGTATAAAACCACATTTGTATTTGCAGATTTGTAGCTGCCTTTTTTGTGGGTTGGGGGTGTGCTAAATATTAATGCAGCAGTATCCCCACAGACCTACCCAAAAATAGATGTGAACAGAAAATTGCCCTGTTGGAAATGATTTATACATTTACTAAAATATCAGTTAATCAGACTCAAAGATGGTGGGTTTCTTTTCCCTTTCTGAAGACACCTTTATTCAGCAGGGAGGATTATCCACAAATTAATTCTTGTTAATCAGATTGATACTGCTTCACTTTATGACTTTGGTAGCTGAAGGCAGAGGTGGCATAACAGACCAGTAGGATTTCTACACATGCCCACTTTGAGGGCTATTTCATTGTGCTGCCATTGGTGTGGATGGCTTGTGACCCTCTTACTTTGTTTTGTCCAGGGCATCCTGTGATTGCACTGATGTCAGGGCTTTGTCAACTAAATCTAGACAAATTGCTGCACAGCCTGGAAAGGGCAGTGCAGTATGGAGGGAGCAGGATAGGTTGTTTGGGTAGGAAATTGTACTTTCCATTGAAAACCGCTTGAATGATTCTTCCTGTCTTCCCATTCCACTCCCTCTACTCCAGTTTGGAGAAATTCTTGAAATTTTCCTAAGCACTCCCCTACAAAACCTGAAACAGAATTTTTATAAGCAGTTTATTGTGGAGAACTAACTGGAAGAATGGGGAGTTTAGACACATAGGATTAGACTCTGTATACCTGACAATGTTGTTCCATGTAGCTCTTTAAAGATGTGTTTATAATTAGTCATAAAGCATCACTGTTCACAGAACCTTTTAAAAATCAGTGAAATTGCCACTGCTCTCTCACTCTGCAGCAGTCAGTGCATCACAGCTGTGTTGCACACATTCCTAGGGTTGCTGTCAGGCAATAGGGCTTTGCATGGCTTTGCTTGGAAAGGCTGCCCTGAGAACTGGGACACCTGGGAAAATCAGATCTTGAGAAAATTTGTATGCAGATAATCCCTGTAATTCACTGAGGTCAAAGTTAGCAGGACTTTAATTTGTCTGAGATTGAACCTCCAGCCCCTGGGGGCACATGCCTTTAGCAGCTATACTTCCTGATTGTGGAACTCATTTCCTATTTCTGTCTGAAACCTAAACAGATTGAAAAGGTCAGAGTTGAGCTAAAGACAAATATTTCCTGCTACTTTTGATGGCAAATTGCTGTGATTCTTGCATGAGGACAAAGATGCTAATGCACAGGGTAAAGTTTAATGCTCTGGCTGTTTTGTACCACACCAGTGTCACAAACCCACCACAGCTTAAGTGGTCAGCTGGTGTTTCAGTTGGTGCATGTTGGCATCAGGAGTCAGGCCCTGGTGACAGACCTGGTTCTACAAGTAGTATTTCTGTTCTAGAGATTTTATGGCATTTCAGAGGAAAAAATGGTTAATTGCTACTCTAAGAACTTTTTGGAGTTCTCAAGCCCATGACAGCTTTTGGGAGGTCTATGTCCATATTCACATTAAAAAATTGTTCTGTTTGGGTGTCCGGTGTTTTTATCACTAAATTCTTGTTCATTAAGGTATACTGAGAAAGGGGGAACAGTTAGTCCAATTGTCCAAAATCTCTACATAAGGATTGCAGTTAAAAAGTCTAATTTCCCCCCCCTTTTTAAGCACAAACCAAACTTATTTGCAGGGTGCAAATAAGTTCAGCTGGAAAGGGAGAAGGCAAGAGGAAGAAGGGAAATAAAGAAAATAAGAGGAGGTCCAGGGGAAGAGTGGAAATTTATAGTGTAAGGAATTGTCAGAGCAGCAGGAAAGAGTTTCTCCCCTGTGCTGTGCTGAGCCCCTGGGGTGCAGACTGAGGCTTTACAACACTCCCTGAAAGCCATCCCTGCTGGGAACACAGAGCACTACAGTCCAGAGAGACATGGGCCTCTTGAAGGGAACTGTCACCCCACATCTTTTCCAAGGGATGTAGCAGAGAGCTCTCTATCTTCAGTTAAAAACCCACTGCTTATGAAAGGCTTCATGGGAGCTTTTTGTGTATTGCAAACTGGTGAGGCCTTGCTTTGACTTCTGGTAATACAATGTCTTTTAAGTGTCATGCTTAGGTGTTTCTTGACTCTCTAGAAATGTCTCCCAAATAAACACCAAAGAAGAAGAAGCCTTCTCTTTTTAGTCTTTACCCTGATGATCCTCAAGATATAATAGATTTAATTGAAAAAATCCTTTACTTTAAACTTTTGACTTTTTAATGAGGTCTGATACAATGAAATTTTTTGGGATTAAAAGCAGACAACACTGAAGCCTACAACTTCCTGTTTGAGATTTCTTATATGAAAGAAAATTGCTGTCTTACTTCCCCCTGCCACATATCCAAGTCCAGTGTGGCCTGAACAGTTCTGCAGTGGTGCTGTTGCATGGATTGGTCACTAGATGATACCCTTATGCTGTGTTCAATATTTCTCTGATTTCATATTGGTAACATTTAGGCAACATTCTGCAGTTGTAGGTTGCAGATCTCATGAGTTAGGTCCAACAGAGTGAACATATGGTGCCATATGTGACCCTAGTTTGCAGTTGCTAAGTATAGCTAATATGAAGCAAACCCCAAGATTTATTGTCTCTGCTGCAGCTACAATAATAAAGTGACAATAGGCACTGGCAGCAAGAGGAAAGTGGCTGGCAGGTTTGAGTCTTTGAAATTTATTTTCCTTGACAAATTATAGTTTATAGTAGGAAGTCCTTTTGAGTTTCTTCCTTTTGAGGTTTTCTTTTAAGGTTATTGTTTTTGTAGGATAGTTGAGAGGAGAGAGCAAAATCCAGTGCAAGTGGAGGAATACTGTGAATTCAAAGCTCTCTTTATTCAAATTTTGTTACTGTAGTGTCTGTGTTGGGAGATAATGTATATTAAGAGGGGCAAGAACAGCTCATACCATCTCTTGTTTTTTAACTGTCAAAAAGAACTGCCTTAATCTCATCTCTTCCTCCGCAATACTCCCCATTGCATCCTGCCCCCATTATAAACAGCAGCTTCAAATTTTTATACCCAGTCTAGCTCAGGAAACTGGTGTAGTTTTGTTTAGGTTTTGTCTGTTCACAGCTGAGTTTAGCTAATTTTAGCATTAGAGTAAAATGCTTTAGAATTGCTATGGAAATTTTTGGATTTGTTTCTTTTCTGGGATGAAGCACTGTTACTTGAGGTTGGTAAATGGATGTTTGCAATCTAAGTATTAATGCAGCTTGAAACTAGTGGCATCCTGCAGCTGTCATGGCCATGGTGGTATTCCTCTATTTGGAACTGCTAGAAACCTCAAATGGGATTTATTTGACCAAATGTAAACATTTACATCGAAGTTAGTAGCCTAAGGCCCTTTTTACAGTCAGAGGAAGTCCAGACAATATGCCCACTGTAGTCTGTGGTGCAGTTCTTCCCATCTCAAACATGTAAATAGGGCAGATGAATTGTGACCCAGAAATACTTGTTCCTTCCCAGGCACAAAATCTTGACCTCAAGTCAAGTAAGTGCCACCACTGCCATTCCATCAAGAGAAATTAGTTTTGATGCTTTGGTTTAATTTTTTTAAACTTAGATTGTTTTTACACTAATCATGTCTTTGCACTCACTTAGTGGGAGGGTGACGAGGTATTTCTCTGAGAGGACAGTCTATATTCATGCTTCCTCTGCAACACTTTGCAGTTCCAAAACTCCAAAGGCTTCTGGGAGAAACTCAACTCCAACCTGGAGAGTGTGAAGTATGCAGAGCCACACTTCCACTACCACAGTAAGGTGCTCAGGAGGGAATGGCACAACCTGTCAGAGGAGGTGAGTGAGAGGCCCTGGAACTCCCCAGAGCTGCCTCTGAAATGGGGATTTAAAGTCAAGCATGGATGAGTTGCTTTTTTATTTTGAAGACAAATAAATGGGAATCTGATTATCAGAAGTGCAAAGACTTGCAGTCATTTCACCTAAGGTGATTGCCTCTAAGTTTTGTTCTCTTAAAATAATGCAAGAAATTAAAGAAAAGCAGAGCTTACTCTGTACTGTTGTGAGGTTTACATGTGTGTGAGTGCACAGGCACTTGGAAGATGGTGTAAGGCCCCACTGTGTTCTATTTCCATTCAAAGAGAAAACCAAATTAATTTCTGATCTTCATTCCATCAGGGAGTATTTTATTTGGTCTTCTGTTTTGTTCATTTTGGGAATTTTGTTTGTTTACAAACCAGAGAGAGGAGAGAAGAACCACAGCATATTTGAGGAATATTTTTGAAAATGCCAAAAAGTATGTACTGGTTTATATTATATTTACTCCTTCTTATTTTGCACAAATATGTTGGAGGAATAATGTGCCATTTAATTAGTTGTTTAGGTATCTGATTAAAAGATACCTTTTTATCTTTAAAGAAGATTATCCTGCTGAAAATCAGTTATTGAAATCCTTGTTATCACTACCACATGATCTGAAATACAGGCCTCTAGAGCTAGGGAATTTATGGTAGATGTGAAGTCATTCTCATGCAACCTAGACAGATAGAATTTTTTTAATATTATCTAGTATTTTTACTACATTTAGTCACATGTACTGTTCTCAGATGTCTTTAGCTGCCTTTGAAAGACCAAAGGCTCATTTGAGTTTTTAGTGATGTTATGAAAGCCTTTAAAGTATTGCATATGAAACACACTGATTTTGGTTTCTAACCCCAGGGTGCTTTCTCACCTGGACACTTGGGACTCTGGTAAGTGAAATTTTTCTTGATGTAAGATTTAGGTTTATTAGAATATTTCCATCCAGCTGCTGTTTGCTAAAAATCAGTTGCTATGTGTGTTTTCAGCACAGAAGAGTTTGGGGATTTAAGATGAGAGGAAAACTTTCATGTACTGACCAGGAAATGCTTGAAAATAAAGTCTCTAGTTCATATTGGATCTAACAACATAAGCAGTAAAATGTGGTCTGCTAAAGAATATCTTCAGGGTTTTTCTTGTGGAGCAGAGTATCAATGACACTGTGTTACTGTTGAGTTTTGTCCACTTGTAGCTGCCTTTGCAACATCAGAACGTGTGCAGGAGATTAGGGCTGGTTAAAAAACATGGCATAGAGAGAGCAGGTGTAATGAATTTCCTTAGGCCAGAAACACTTCAGATTTTTTGTTGCTCAGTTCCTCTGTCACAAATAAGTAAAACTGAATTTGGTGGTGTTTTATGTTCCTGCTGTTCACACATCAGTGCCTTCTACGTGCCCTGCCATGTGTGCTGTGACATGATGCTCATGTGAGTGCTGCTTGGTCCTTTTATTACCAAGAATTTTCAGTGTACACATTCCCAGCCCCTGACAGCAGTCATCTGTGTCACTGCTACTTATTGCAATGGGCTCTGACTTTGAGAGACTTTGTATCAACTTTGTGAACCTCAGCTTTGTGTTTTCAAAGGTGCTTATTAAGAAGTCAGATGTTTAAATGTTACTAGATAATTTCTAAATAGCTTCCATCCAGTAACAAACATCTATGTAGTATTTCCCTGCAGATTTGTCCTTGTGTCCTTTAAAATCAGCAGCACAGGTCTTTGTGCTGCTAAGTGGTGGTGTAAATATATTTGAAGGTGAGCAAAAATAGGAAAAGTTTTAAAGAGTTCACCACTTAGTTCCCTACAATCTTGAGCTGGTTTTATCTGTATCACGAAATAGAAGATTGGTTTTCTTCCTTTGTTTTAGTAGACAGGAAGCACTGATTAGGAAATACAGATTATTAATTTCAGCAGCCACTGTGATCTCCTTCCATTTAGTTAGAGAAGTTGTGTTCTTTTCATAGTGGTCTACAAATCTGAGTACCAGAAGCAGCCAGAGCATGGGAGAGAATCAGTGGGAGGTGATTCCCTGAACAATTTACTTTCTGTCTAGCCATTTTCTTGGAAAACCCACACAGCTGCTGGAGTTTGTTTGTTTGTAAATGACAAGATCTAAGTGGCACATCAGCACTGGTGTTACCAGAACGTTCTCTCTGCCTCTTTGCTCTCTTGAGTCACCACTCTGTGATAACTCTTACTTAAATATCAAAGAGAAGAAGAAGTGGATGGCAGACAAAGGGTTATTTTCCATTTTTCAATTCTCTTATTCAGTCCATGGTTCTTCAGTGTCTTAGTTCTGTATCAGAGTAGGTCAAACCACAGCTTCTGTTTGCTTGTCTATCCTAAGTCCTTTTGAAGCTGGTTGAATGCTTGGGATGTTTCTGTAGTGCCATGTCCTTGACTGATTGTTGCTCTGTTTGTTCCAGGGGCGAGGCTGGTCCCTCTCTTTGAGGAGGAGGATTATCAGCAGCAGCTGCTCATGGGACTGGTATGTTGTGCTGCTGTCAGTGTGCACTAGGGGACGCACAGGCCCCACAGATGTGTCAGGAGGGACCTTCCGAGTCCCAGCGCTGAGTGGAAGCTCACTCAGGGTAGCTATGGGGCAAACATAAACATTTCCTAAGTTTTAGAGTTCATCATCATGATATTATCTTAGCAGGTTATTGTAAGGCATAGGGGGAAAACAGGAATAAAAAGTTAATTTGTCAAAATGCTTTTTCCCAATGTAACATTGGCTGGAAACTGGTAGGTCATTTAATCTGTCAGCTATTTTTTGACTTCTTTATGCCTTTAAAACATGTATAAGTGAATTCCTCCCCCTCCATTCTCTCAATTTGATGAGTAGAGATCTTCTTGCTCCTCAATTTAACAGCTCTTTTACTGTTTCTTTTTCCTTTACCTCACTTCTGAGACTGCTATGTCCATTCTGAGGTCCCTTCCTTTCCACTGTTTTTGCCAGTGATCTCCCTAAAGGATCTACCATCTATATGCTTCTGGGAAATAAATTCTGTCTCAAATCCCTAGCTGACCTCTGTCTAAATACATGTCTTGGCTTATCCCTTGTTCTCTTACTTTTAAAATCAACCAACTCTTCAGTATGCACTGGAAGATCTCAGCAGTGAAGAGCAGATCAACACTGTCCTGTCCATATCTGAGGCAAATTTCCTTCTTTGCAGTGGTCTCCCTGTCTGCAAGTTTTGCCTCTCATTCTCTGCAGCTTCCCTACATTCCTTCCTCTCTGTTTATTCAGACAGATCCAAAAAGCAGGTCAGTTTGTCTATGCCTCCCTCATACCTGTATTGCTGTATTGACACAGTGAGATTAGTCTGTATACAAGTTCCTTGAGACAGAGGTTTTTATTTGCTCCAGTTTCACTCTGAGCTTCTTAGTAACTCTCAGAAAAGAGCCAGCATGGACTTGAGTTGCAATCTGAAGCTACATGAGGTCAGCAAATGTTTCAGAAAGGAGAGACTAGGGAGTGGCATGGACTGTATGTTAACAAACACTCAGCTCTAATGACTTCACAATTAATGTTTAACCTGAAATTGCTGTTAATCATCCTGGTTCTCAGTTCTTGGCAACTACCACAAATTGTACTTGTGCTAGTTCTCTCTTTCATAAAATGTCTCAGGTTTATTTGTTTGTAATAAGTACTTATATTCTTAGAATCCAGTGTTATATTTAAATCCTTTCATCCAGTTCCCTTGGCTTTGCACAGAGAGGTGTGAGAACTGTAAGCTTTTTCTTTTCAGTATCATGGAAAGTTCAGCTTAGTATTCATTTTGCTGAATTTGCACCAAGTAACCATTTTGAATATTCACATCTGCTGATGAGTTTAGCAAGATTGCACAGCAGCTTGGGATCTTACTCTGAAGTGGAGTTTTGTAATGGGGAAATGTTTTGTTGAGGCAGTGCCTATTGATCAGGCCCTGCACCTGCTGCAGTTTTTGTGTTTCTTTGAAGATGCCCAACAACAAAAAATTTTTGGCTTTTTTCCTAGATGGTTGCTCAGCTGAAGGATCACCTTATGAGACATCTACAATATGTTGGAAAAAAGAAGATTGACCAAATAGTTTTGGATTATGTTGCAAACCTGGTTAGTTTGATTTCATAGTCACTATTGTGAGCAAGTGTGTATTTGCTGGATTGTACATCCCTGGGTGTGTACCAGTTGTATATAGCATATATTTGGTGGGAAGATTTTTTTAAAAAAATACATTTAAATATATTTTTCAGCCAAATATTGCATAAATGGATTAAGAAAATTAATATTATTTAAATATTATTTTAAAAGTTGTACCAGTCACTCAGAGTACAGAAGAAATGGTTCCATTTACAGCTTGTGCAAATATAGTCTACTCCCAGAAATAAAATGAGAACTCATCCTGAAAGTTTAAAGCTGTTAGATCCATTTGGTTTCCTGTAGAACACATTGCTGCAAGTCTTGAATGATGAAAGGGCCACCAGGGGAAATAAAAAATGAACAAAAAAAGATGTCACTACCATGTGACATGTGGGTAAATCACCACCACTCCTACACAGTGCCTTTGGTGGGCTGTGTGTGTGACAGGAGACAGTTTTGCATGAAGAAATCTTTGTAAACTACTGTGAAAATTTGCTTTCTAAATTCTTATTTTTTTGTCTTTCATCCTCTTAAGAGACCTTTAAAAAAAAGCCGCAAAAACCATAACTTGTGCACAGAAGTTATCTACTTGGTTTTGTCTGTCTCAAGATCACATCCTTTAAGTGCAGAACGCAGAGTTCTCAAAAGCTTGTATGGCAACTCTAAACGCTGTTCTTTGTGCCAGTGTTCAGTAGAAGCTCCCCACAGTGTTGTGTTCTAGGGATGAAAACCTTGGGAAACTTCCTTGGGGCTACTGATGCCTGCGTCTGCTCCAAAGTGTGTGTGAGTCACTTACTCTGTCAGTGTCACAGCGCCCTCTGAACCCCTGCAGCCCCAATGCCCTTCCTCACTTTTCAGGCCTCACTTTGACAACTTCACAAGTTGTTTCACTGGTAATTGGCAGACTTTTATGCATCTGTGTAGGAAAGAAACTGAAACTAGTGGTTGATTAAGACAGGAACAGTACAACATAAACCAAAGGCCTGTACCTAAAAATGGTGCTGAAAAAAGCCCAAGTGGAACATTTCTTCTCCTTTTATTCAATTTCTAATAACAATTTTTTCACTTTTAGTAAAATCTAAGATAAAAAAAGTGAAAACATCGATTCAACCTTGATCTGCAAGGCTAAATTATTATAGACAAAATCTTGCAAAACAAATCTCAGCCCTCCCCACAAGCAAACTCTCAGGACTAATTCTCTCAACTCAGTTGACAGGCTTATTCTTAGAAAAGCTACTATAAATGAAGATAAAGTGCCTCTAAAAGTTGCTTCTGCTTTCTGCTGGTACATCTTAGGCACTGTTTGGAAATCTTTAAAATTTATTTCCTTTTTAAGCTTACATTTCCCCTCATCCTAATGAGAAATTCATACAGCTCAAACCTTTCCATATCCTAAATGTATCAGAGTTCTTCAGGGGAATGAACTGGTTTGAGTCTTCCAGCAGTTCTTCTGTAGTATCAGCAATGAGTAACAGAGCTATTGAAACTAATGAACAGGAAGAGACTTGAAGTTTGTCTGTTTACTTTCATAAGATATTTTGCATTACATTCAGGAGTGGCTGAGATGAGGCTCCATGGTGTGCAGTCACTGTGTAAATCAATTTCAGAAGAAGTCAGAGAAGCCAAAACTTGGGAGCACTGAGAGTTTCTTATAAAACAAGAAAAGGCTGGCTGCTGTCAGAGGACTGTGTGTTCTTGTCTACAGAGAAGTGAAGTGGGGAAGTGTGAATGACACACCTCAGTGGGAATTCCTTGTTTGCTGAGCAGCTCTGCAGAGCTGGGTTGTGCCTGGTCCCAGTCCATGTGCCACCTTTCCTGCAGTGGTTGTTGTGTGTCCATAAGCTCTCTCTCCTCTGCAATCACTTTACCTTAGCTTTGCTCCATAGCTGTTTCTCTCATCTTTTTATTTCAGTGAAGCAGGAAAGGGGAGAAATAACTTACAGAAGCAGTGTGACAATTGCTACCCTGACTGCAAGTGGAAGGGGAGGCAGGGTGAGCAGGCAGCCTGTGGCACAGGAAACAGGCAGACCTGAATAAACTGCTGAAATTTCTCTGCAGGTCCCTGCAGTAGCTGCACATTTCCCCTGATGTCTGTAGGCTCAGCTGCAGAGGAACAGAAGACAGACAGACACCATTTGGATTTGAGTTTCCTTGGGAGGAGGAAGACTGTGTCATGCTACTGCACAGGAGGGGATCTGAAAGACAGCAATACCTTGTCTCACTTCCTTTTCTCCTTTGCTCCTGGTTCTTTTCTTTGACTTTCTTTGGCTTTGAAGTCTTTCCTGTAGAAACAGCCAGGGGAACTGAGCACTTGTGGTTCCCAATTACTTTAGGGGAACTTCAGTTTCCTTGGCACCGTTGCCTGGAACTGTGGACATTTCAAGACAAGGTGACAGCACTGTCAGCCAAGGCCCTCCTGCATGTGCTGTCTTGCTGATGGTCATGTGCTCTCTTGCTAGTTTAGAGCACTCCAAGGGAAATGGCTTCATGGATGTGCCCAAAAAACTTCTCATTGTGTGTCTGTTATTCAGGGAAAATGGCCACCCCTGCTGTGAGTGCAGCTCTTAACTTGGCTGCCCCAGCCACCCACTGCTAACCTTGGACAGGAAGCTGCCTGTGCTCCTTCCATCAGACAGATAATGCTGCCTTTCTCTCATGCACATTATCTTGTGTGTTATGCTCTGAAAAAAAGATTGAGATGAGGATTATCTTTCTGTATGTATTTCCTACAATGCCAAGGGTACATGTTGATCTCCAAAGAGAGTTGTGCTGTTAGTGTGGGTGTCACATGACAAACATTCATGTGTTTAAGATGCAAGTATGTTGTGATAGCTTGGATGATTATGACTTAAGAAGTTGTTAAGCTTTCTGTGCCCTGTGAAAGCTGTACAGTTTGCTGTGTTATTAAGCAAAAATGCTTATTATTGGTGATTTTGGAGCTTGTAAGAGCCTTCACTTCAACACTGATCCTTCAGATCCAGCTGCAGCTCCTGATGCAGAGGCCTTAGCTGCACTCTCTATGCTGGCCAGAAATGAAATTCATTCCAGCAGCAGATGTGGTTATTGTGACCCTTCTGTGGAAACTGGAAATCACTCATTTCCTAGAAAACTTGCTATACTCCAGAAATATCAAATTGGATCTTTCCATTGCATTTAGAAAGTGTGGAGATGGCAAGGATTGGGCAGTTATTTTGCATCAGGGAGCTGTACAAGCCTGGCTCAAGTCAGGGTGGATGGGAAAGGTGCTGCCTTGTAGAGCTTTCTGGCCAAGGCACACAGGAACACTCAGGGACATTACTGAAGATGAATATTCCAATTCTGGCCTTTGCATGCAGATCTCTCCTGTGTGTCCTGTTTCTCTCTTGCTCAGAGCCTGTGATGAGTCAGACAATGGAGAGGGCAAGGCCTATGAGGAGAAAAGAGAAAGGGAAAAAGCATTCCTGGATTCTGACCATCTGGAGGGAGGAAAAGTGTTCCTAACTCCTTGTGACACCTCTTTGCAGAGCAGGGCTCAGTTTCCTGAGTTTCCTGGGACTGATTGATTGCTGTGCTTTGAGGGCCAGAGATAAAAGGCCAGAGGAAGTGTCTCAGTTGTGTTACTGAGATGTGGAACTGGGTGCACATGACAACCATGAGGAAGTTGTTTCAGCTCTTCCGTGCGTGGTTTCTCTTTGAGCTGCAGGAGCTGAGAAGGCCCAAGTGAGAACAGGGCTTGTGGCTTTGGTATGTGCTGACTGTGTGTGGTGGATGTCAGTGTGGGAGCACAAAGAACAACAGCATGGGCCAAGGGATTGTTTCACTTCACTGGGGACAAAAAGGAAACTCCGTAGATGAGGAGAGGCATTTGTTTGTCTCATTTTTCCTCCTTTTCAGGACTAGATCTGTCATTGCTCCTGCACACTTTTCTTGGCAAACTGAACATTCCACTGTCTTCAACATTATCTGCTTTTGCTGAGCCCTTGGGACTGTTCCTTGCCAAGTGCTCAGCCACTTGGACATGCTGGTTTTGCTTTCATGGCAAACAGATTTTTGAGAATTTGCTGCAAGAGCCTGAGATCAGTTATCTCCAAGAAGCACAGTGTGTTGAGTTGCTGTATGTCTTGCATGATGCTTTGATAAGCTGGAAGCACTTTAAACAGCTGGAATAGGGCAATTCTGTTACAATTCAAATTTTAATAACTTTACATTTTAAGGCCATGGAGAAAAAGAATAAAGATTTAGTAGGAGTCCCATGAGAAGATTTTAACATAAACTGGTGTGTGGAATGAATGAAGGCCAAAAGGCTGCTGTATACAGGCTCCTGGAAACACCCACTCTTCTCTTTTTTGTTTTAGCTGAATCTGGTGCATCGAATAATGAAAGAAGTTTGGAGGAGATACCAGCTTCATTCCTGTATCTTCTGCTTGTGAGCAAGTGATTTGTTAAAGTTTTCAGCCTGCCTTTTAAAATATGGGCATAATGATTTTGGTCTTCATCAGCAGTACTGCTCTGAACAGTCAGTGCTTGTGCTGCTGTCAGTGTTAGTGTCACTAACTCTTCAGTGCTTGTGCTGCTGTCAGTGTCATGTTACTGTCACTAACTCTTCAGTGCTTGTGCTGCTGTCAGTGTCATGTTACTGTCACTAACTCTTCCTAAGGATCCTGCTGGTCTCTCTAGGCCAGTGAATATTAACCACACAGGCAGTGTTATGGCTGGAGCTTAAACTTGCTGAGTTTGGAGTGGTCCCAAGCTGGGTGGTGGGTGTTAAACACTTGTAAAAGCCAGCTCACTCACACCAGCACTGTTTTACCTGTTGCTGCTGATTCCAGGTACTGCTGAGAGCTTTGTAAATGTGCATCAGTGGGGGAGGACATGGGGACACCACAGAGACTTTGTGTGTCTGCAGCACTGGCTGCTGGTGCTGTCTGAGACACCTCAGTACACAAGGCAGCATCCCATGGCCCTGCATCCCAAAGGCAGGCATGCAGTGCACTCCCAGTATGGCAATTAATGTGTTGCTACTTTGTTATCTCAGTGATGAGAGAGGAAGTGCAGCAGAGTTTGCGGTGTTCCACATCATGAGTCGGATTCTGGAAGCAGCAAATGGCATGTGCATGCCTTTACCTCCCGGTAAGTTCTGAGTTTTGCTGTTTTTATCATGGGTGAGGAGAGCAGTGCTATAAATTCCTCACAGCACAGCACAGGTTGCAGCTCATGTGTCAAGTTAGCTTTGGCAGTATTGACAGCTATTCAAGTCACTGAGAGAGGGGAAGGCTCTTGATAAGCCTGTACAAGTGAAATGAAGCAAAACTAAATAGTTACTAGAAATAGAGAAAACTAAACAGAGGTTTCCAATGGAATGTGTGGGTGCAGTCTTATCTTAGAACTAAGATTTAGACTCCATTCACATATATATATATATATATATTTAGTCAACTGGACTTCAGTATCAAGAGGCACAAGGGAAAATCCTATCCTGTAGCAGATAGAGTTTTTTTCTCATGGTCTTGCCCTGCTAATAATTTTCAGTTTTTTCCTGAAGGGATTATTTCCAGCCTTGATGGAAAAGCTGGTCTTGATAGTAGATTTTAATCTCCTAGAGTTCCTCATAATTCTTTACAGCATTTCCAAAGCACTTGCTTATTTTCATTAGGAAAAGACATCTTGACATCTTAATATCTTAATGCTTTCCAATTCTGTTTGAATCTTCCTGGGGTTTATTTCCTGATCTGTCTTTGGTCATTGCAACTGCTTTTGGTATGAGTTTGTCCCTCAGTCTGTGTGGGCACAAATGCTGCCACACAGTAGTGTTACATGATAACAAGACCATCATCAGTCAAAGGAAAGCTGAAGTTTTAATGCTGCCCGTGGGAGTGTCTTCATGGCACCAACATCCTGAGGGTGGTGAGACCTCAAATTTTGATTAATTAGGAGGAAAGAGGGAGATAAAAGACAAATGAATAGAGCAATTCAGATATAAGGCAACAGCTTGGAGACATTTAGGGACAGTGTATGACTTTAATGACTGTTTTCAATCCCCTCAGCTTTCTTCTTTCTGACAAGAGTGTACTTGAGAGGACTTGAAGGATGTCTAAATAAGATGACCTGACTTGATAAATTGATTTCCTCACCAACTATAAAGAATCAGAAGTCAAGAGAAGTGATGGCTTTAGCTAGAGTAATTTCAGTCTTAAATAGAGAATTAGGAAAAACTACATATTGTACCAAACAAGTTTGTGTCTTTCATAGGTTTTCACACTCTGCACCTGGGACTTGGTGTTCGATGTCTGCCTCTGCACACCCTCCTGCACTACATTGACAATGGCATCTTGCAATTGACAGAAACGTGTGTCAGGAAATTGCTGAAAGGTACAGTGAACATGGTGTTTCATTTGTTACCTGCCAGCTAATTGGCAGTGTTGTCCTTTGAGCCACTCCCCTTGGACACAGGTTTTATTGCCCAGGACACTCAGCTGTCCTTAGAGTGCTGTTTCAGTGAGGGCTGTAGCTGAGGGTGTTGCCTACCTGAAAGGAGAAAGCTGGGGCTCAGGCTGTGTGATTGGCCTTACCACAGCACACAAAGAAATATCTGTGTGGAGAGAATCTGAGTTTGTTGTTTTTACACTTCAGACTTCTTAGAAAAACAAATACTAAAGATCATCATAGTATTTGTTGGGTAATTTCTGTGACTCTGTGAAAGTGCACACCTGTGTGTGAGGAAGTTGGTCTGCTACCCAGCCCTCAGCTTTTGCCTTATGTTTGGAAAGAGAAGAACAGGCCTGCCAAGCTGACCTCATGGCTGGGGAAACTTGTGGAGCAGATCATCTTGAGTGCCATCACATGGTGTGTGCAGGACAACCAGGGCTCAGACCCAGCCAGCAGGGGTTTGTGAAAGGCAGGTCCTGCCTGACCAGCCTGAGCTCCTTCTGTCACTGAGTGACCCACACAGGGGGTGAGGGAAAGGCTCTGGGTGTTGTTTACCTGGACTTCAGCAAAGCCTTTGACAGCATTTCCCACAGCATTCTCCTGGAGAAACCAGCTGGTCATGGCCTGGGTGGGAGCACTGCTCACTGGGATAAACTGGCTGACAGCTGGGCCCAGAGAGTGGAGGGGCATGGAGCTACATCCAGCTGGTGGCTGGTTCCCAGTGGGGTTCCAGAACTCAGTATTGGCTCCAGTGCTGTTTAATGTCTTTATCAGTGATCTGGACAAGGGCATCAAGTGCTTCCTCAGCCATTTTGCAGATGACACCAAGTTGGGTAGGAGGGCTCTGCTGACAGATATGAACAGACTGGAGTGATGGACTGAGGTTAATTGTGTGAGGTTCAACAAGGCCAAGTGCTGGGTCCCGCCCTTTGGTCACAACAACCCCAGACAGCATCACAGGCTGGGCAGAGTGGCTGCAAAGCTGCCCAGGAGGTGCTGCTCAGTGGTGGCTGAACGTGAGCCAGCTGTGCCCAGTGGTCCAAAAAAAGGGGCAACAAAATATGTTGTATCTGTATCAATCTGTGCTTGATCTTGATAAATTAAGTATTATAAACTTGAAGAGTTGCGCTTAATCAAAGTGCATTTGAATTACAGTATAAATTGTTACATAAAATGGTGAAGTTATGGACAAATATGCAGAGATATATTTGTACACATGATAAACATGTAAATAATAGTCTTTAAAGTGAAATTTTCATTTCACTAAGGAAGTGATGTTTATTCAGAATGTCTTCAGTGAAAGTTGAAAGTTTGTTATGTGATTACTGTTTGTTTGATTTGCTTTTTTCCCTGCTGCTTATAGATCTGGATGACACTGAACAGAATGAAAAGCTGAAGTTTAGTATTGTCATGAGGCTTCCAGAGGTAACTAATGGCTTTAGATGTAATTTCTTGGATTTTGGAATTGATAGGAAATTCCTGCTTGTGCATAGGGTCAAACCAATGAAAGACTTGGCTGTGATTCAATTAGAGCCTGATTCAAATATAACCAGAACAGCCACAGTTTCCCCATCTGCTGCTCCTGGACTGTAGGTTACCCTGATAACTTAAATTACAGATTTGTCCATAGTGTTTTACAGAGTCTTCAGTATCCTACAGAATTTAACAAGACTGACACTGTTCTGCTGAGTACTCATTTGCATAAGGCAATGAGGGTTATTTAAAGGGGGTTTATGGGGTTTTGTGTGTGCTTTTCAGCATCCATGGAGTCTTTCTCACTTGTGACCTCTGTTTGGTTCTGTACACTTGAAAAAATACATTCAAAAGCTGGTACAGTAAAAGCTGTGAAGTTGTGTTGTACCACAGCTTTGTGGCAGGGATGGATTACAAGATCTCCCCTCAGTTAAACCTCACAGTCTCACCCACTGACCAAGCTGACTTGTGTAGCCACAGGAGCTGGTTACTGCTCCTCCATAAATCGTTCCAGCAGGATGGGAGATGTATTTCTTCTTCTTCCATTTTGCTGTTAGTGCACAGCACAGGGCTGCAGGGGAAGCACAAGATGTCAAGAGTCAGAGGAGCACCAGGGATCCCCCTTGGGGAATGCCTCACTGCAGAACAGGCTTTTTTCCACATGAGTTGCCCATTGTTTGCTCATTATGTGCTGTCACTTGTAGTTCAAATGGCCAGAAGTGCTGCTTGGGTTTTCCTCCAACAAAGGCTTCTTTATTTGGCAGCAGTTTTGAGAAGGGGTAGAGAAGGAGAACTCAAAGGATGTTCTTTGTCCTCTGTGCCTTGTTTTGGGCCAGGGCTGGTGAGCTGGGGTCAGCACGGGGCCCCTGAGTTGCCAGCCCTGGGCCTGGTGCGTGGGGAACTCCATTCCAAGCACGCTCTGACGTGAAGGGCTGAGCTGGGAGAGTTAGGGAACAACCACTGCTGGCTGTGCACAGTAGAGTCAGTGCTTTATTGTATCTATTTACAGCTTTGGGAAAAAATGCTGGGACTAGCCTGTTTGACAGAAAGGTCACTTTGGGGTGACTCGGACTATTTTGAGCAGGTTACATGTACTGGATGACTTCAGTTTAATCAGAAGCAAGGATTTAAGCACCATGAAACTGTACAGCATTTACTAAAATGAACAGCTGTCTGCATTGCAGCACAGCTGAAGGGGAGGGGCAAGGGAAGATCTGCACAGGGAAAACAGCAGAAGGTGGAGTTAATTTACAGTGTGTTCCTATTCTTTTGTTTATTGGTTGGGAGTGGAAGCTTTGGGAAACCTGGTTTTGAATCTCTGGGCTCTGGAAATGTGAGACAATGTTATCAGTTTCCAGGATGATGACCTGAATAATGGGATCCAAAATTACATTCCCAGTATCTTTCCTTGCCAGTGTTCTGCTTGTCTAAGGCTCCTTAAGACTGAGCCTAAGAAGCCCTATCCTGAAGGAGCTTTGAGGAATGGAATCTTTGAGGAATCTACTTTATTCTTTGGGGGAAGAATAGATTGAAATCAAACACAGTAAAAGATAAAGGTTCAATTAGTACTTAAGTACACATGTCAAGTGGCACTGGGACAGACCAGCTGAGGGGAGGACTGAGTGAGGAGGTTTTGATTTCCCAGATTTTGAGAGCACATTGTGATCTCTTAGCTACTGACTACAAAAGGAAAGCTCCATGGCTAAACATGATGACCTCTTAGCCTTGTCATTGAGGTCTGAAAGCAAAGCACATCTGCATTGCAGCCTGGATTTTGTGTCAGCTTTTCCTGCCTTTATCTCTAAGTTTCCACTGTCCCATTCTATGTTCTCAGGTTTGGGGTTTGTTTTTGCTCACTAGGCTCTTGGTCAAAAGGTCCGCCAGTACTGGAACCATCCGATAAATGCCAATTTCATAGCACGGAAATATGTGAAACTCTTGCTTGAGAAGCTGGGAAACAGGCAGGTAAGGGCACAGAGCCTGTTTTAATATCTTATGCTTGGACAGTGTTGAGATTCCTGAGCTTTCTGTGGACTGTAACACACTAAAGAAACATTGAAACCTTGGTGCATCTGTGCAGCTTTGTGAAGTAACTCAGAATGTTCTCCCTTACAGTGCAGCAGGCCTGTCCCTGAGAGACTCTCCTTCCCCGTGGAGTTTCTGCCACTGAACTACCTGACTAACATGCTGGCAGAGATAGAGAATCAAGGTAGTGTTAATTCTGTACTTTGGAAGACCAGTGATTGTTACCCTTTGATGCTCACTCAGATATATCCTGCCTATACTCACATTACTGAGTTATTAAAACTCCAGTGATGTCTGAACACATAGGTTTGGTCATATTTCTGCTGAAGGGAAGTGTCAGGGGCCAAGAGCCTCCATGTATGGGTATCATCCTGTCTGGGGAGGAAAACAGAGTTAACCATGTAGCAGCAGTATGAGCAAGTGCCCTGGGCCAGTTCATGGACTAGCACCAGCACAGCCACTCTGCTTCAAGCTGGGTTTGGATCTCCAGTTTGGAAGTCCAGCCTCCAGAGAGGCTTCCCTCTGTGTGGGTTATAATTTACTTACATCCCACTAATAGGATAGTTTTTGCCATGGATGAGCATCCAAAGGGCACCACTGAAAACTGTAAGTATTTTGGGTGCATGAAAACACATTTCTATTACCCCTTATCTTTTGGTATTGGAGATGAAGATGTTTAATAGACAGCAGGACTAGAAGTGTACTGGAGCATGTACAATTTTGTAAATACTTCCTCACCATGTTTTTCTAGGTGTGCGTCCATATGAAAAACAAGACCATGTAAATGCAAGATTTGTAGAGGAAACAGCACTCAAGCACACTATGACACTTCTGGGCCTCAAATACTCCTGAAAAAACATGCTGTTGAAGAAGGCTGTCAAACTGTGGTGCCTCTGTAAAAGTATTTATTTAAATGAAATGTTGTTTCCAAAATAACCTGCAGTTTTGGGCAGTCACCAGTACTGACATGAGTGTTTGGTCCAACAAACTGAGGTTGAAATGACTGACTTCTAGACAATCCTAGAGAAATGCATTTGACATAACCCTAGGTTTGAAATATATCTCTGGGTTCATTTTGAAGTAGAACAACAGTGTCAAAACATGCTATGAAAATTGTTATAAATGTCACTTCTTTTAACAAGACAATGCTGGAAAAGGCAGTCCAGTTGCAGGGTTACAAGAACTAGTAACTGTTTACTTGGATTAATAAAAGGATTTCTTGGTGTGATTGTGTAAAGCAGGTAAGAATAACAGATGACTTTTTATGTCAGGCCTGAGTGAAGAGATAGTAATTCCTTGTGGTGGTATCAATTATCTTATGGTACTTCTGCTTCTGAAGCTGCATTCTAATATTTTCAGTTTTGTAATTAGCACAAAATATAATCTCCTTAAAGTGCACGTGACAGATTTTGTTGAGGGTTTGTTTGTTTATTTGAGGGTTTTTTTCTTGTTTTTTAAAGATATGTATAATATATTGTAAGTAAACAGGATAAGAAAAAAGTTTTAGAAATTGATCTTAACATTGGCTTGCAGAGAGTTTTACATAATCCTTTCTTACAACTTTTAGTGTTACAGTTCAAACCTCAGCTTCAGAAAGAAGTTAGGCAGGCTGTTTTTCCTTTGTTTTCAACTTCTGTTTGTATGTGTAACTGAGCCAATATTGTTTACTCTTTTGTTTTAAGTTCTGAACTGTGACATTAATTTCAAATAGGAATAGCAATGTGCTACACAGAGAAAATTGCCAAGTTGTGCCATGCAGGATTTCTGCAGCCTTTTTTGGCTTTTAAAAAAACCTTTATGAAATTCCAGACTATTAGACTAGACAAACTCATTAATATTTTATACATTTGGGAGGTTTTCAAAACAACCTCTGACCTCTCTCTGAGTGGTTTCCATTGATGCTCCCTGTTCCTGACCAGTGAAATAAAAAAATCTAGTTCCTTGTCATTGCCACCAGTGAAGCTTTAGCTTTCCTAGTGACTGCATAGTGAGAAGGAACATTTTTCTTAATGCAATTAGAATTTCTCTGGCAAGTGTAAACTCCAGTTCCAGACTGCAGAAAGCCATGTTGGTGTATGGCTATAAGTGATGGCCACTTTGTATTATATTAATAACAGGAGAAGATTTCCTAGCCCTTTCTTTTTAATGAATATATTTTAACATACCTTCTGATGCAATAAAACTTTACCTGGAAAAAAACGTAAGCATAGCATGAGGATCACTCACTTTTCTTGACACCTGTAAATACTGCATTGCATTTGGGATACCAGGAGAAAGGATTCTGGATCACTGACCAGTGAGCTGTGCTTTTGGCATGAACAAATACTTCATTTTCAGCATGGAATTTGGCTGAACACCAAAAGATCTTTGTTTAGTGCAGTGTAAAATGCTGCTGACTCTTATGATCCAGCAGCTGGTAATGGTCTCTTCTGCTTCAGGTGCTGTCTGTTCAGATTTCAGATGGCTCAGCAGGAGGCTTTTTCAAATGTCTTGGCCGGGGCTCACTTGATCTGAAGAGAGTCCCTCCTCCTCCTCCTCCTGCTGCTCCTCCTGCTCCAGCTCCTGCTCCTGCTCCTCCTCCTGCTCCTGCTCCTCCTCCTGCTCCTCCTCCTCGAGGGTAGTGGGGTAGTAGCTGGGCAGTGCAACTTCCTCCTCCTCTGGAGGCTCCTGCCAGAGAAACACAGCTTGGTCACACAGGGCTTGTGTGCTTTAAAACTCCAGTGCTGCCTCGAGCCAGTGCACAGAATCCCTGACAGAGGTAACACCCTTAGTCTAACCCCTGGCAAACCAGGAAAGCTGAAGGGCTATTAAAAGGAAAGCATGAGGTTTGATCATGTAGATATGAGTTTGTCCTTTCAAATAGACAGTTTGATCCTGCCATGCTTTTGTTGTTTGTCAAGAAAACAGATTAGATGAACTTTTAAAAGATGTAGTAATTTTGCACTGAACATCTGTGGAATAATTCTGTTCCTGAACCCAGTTGAGAGTGGGCCTTTAGCCACAACAATGAAAGGAAACTTGAGTCACAGCATGAGGAGAAGTTTTATGACAGAAGTTTCTTATTCTAAAATATTATTATGGAGGAGCTCTCTGCTCTGGGATCACTGACCATCTCTAGGACAGAGGCAGTGTAAGATTTAAGTGCTTCAAGTGTTTCAAGTGTAGGGTAAGGTTTCAAGTGCTGTCTGCCATGCTGCCCCGCCTCAGTGTCTTGCTCAGCAATTTCATTTCTTGCTGCTTCTGATCTGATGCTCATTGTATCTTGTATGCAGGAGACATTAAACTTACTTTTCCTGAGCCCCACACTCCACCTTTTGCAGCTTTACCTTGAAATCCTGTGAACAGCAGTATTCCACTGATGGCTGCCCTGCCCTTCAGCCACAGCATGGTCACACAAACTACTTTAATAACCAAAGCTGAGGCTTTTAGTATACAATCTCCTTAAGATTCAATGACCAGCTCCAAGTGGTGTTGCCAAACTAGAGTTAAAACTCCACAAACCCACTGTAGTGGGTTGTCAGTTGTCTCTTTCTGTACCATCATCTGCACTGGCTCCTGGAGCTCTTGCAATGTATGACAAAAACTTACTTCAGCTCTGGCTTCAGCTTCTGCTTTTTGTATCTTCTCGCTGTCTAGGATCTTCCACTCGTCCATTTCTGCTTTGGGAGGGGAAAGGCCTTGGCTTATCATCCATGAAGCAGTCATCACAGATTGTTCCTTGTCTCTGATTTCCTGCTGGAGTCTAAGGGCAAATGCTTGCTTCATGGACAACTCTGCAAAAAGAGCCCTTATCTGCTGGGTTTTGCGATTTATGTCGCTTTGCAGTTCGTTGCTCTGGAATGCAAAACAGCTACATTGTAGTTAGGGCTTCCCTTTAGGCACTCACTGGGCATGACACTTGGGTCAGCATTAGGCACTGGAAATAAGTCCACCTTGACAAGGTTTTAAATAGTGGTTCAATTCTTGAAAATTACTTAATTTTTGTGAACACTTAGAACAAAATAAAATGGCTACTCAAGGAGTCACATTTACTCCAGCACAAGAAAAGCAAAGCACATTTGTTTTTGCTTCTTGACCTTTTCAGCTGGACAGCAAAAACTCCCCTAGCCCTCAAAGGCCTGGGATCCCAATTCTTTTTGAGTTTATACACAATTGGCTTCATAATAAAGCTGGAATAAGCCCAATACCTATGAGATAACTGCGTGCCAATGCTGATGCAGGGGCTGTGGGTTGTGACATTGTCCTTGGAAGGGGGACAAGCAGAAAAGGAATGTGACAGAAATCCTTGAGTCTCCCTGCAGATGAGTTTAAAAAAAAAAAACCAAAAGGCTTTAATACTCTTTAAGTGACTAATTGGAACTGGGACAGCCAGAGCACTTGCAAATGCAACTCTTGGCACACTGCCATTTTTACAGTAGCTTATTAGCCCACGGCCATCATTTCACAAACACAGTTAACAACCATGGTATTTCTGTGTGTGTTTAAAATAAATGATAAAAAACTTGTTTAAGCTTTCATGTGTGCCAAACCTAACATCTAAGACAAAATTCTACCCTGGCCTTATTTTACATTAATTATTTAGCTTTTTTTTTCCTGTCCTTCCCTCAGCTCTGCTCAATTTGGAAAATGGGGGCTAGGAGCATTTTTGCTCTTTCCCAAACAATATTACTTGCAGTTAATAAAAGCAAATTGCTATAATTATATTTTAAAAACTGCATTGGAAATAATGGTTCCTGTGTGGTTCTCCCTACCTAAACAATAAAAGAACTTTGAGCCAGATACTAAGTTCATCTTTTTGTATGTTGGAGTAGAATTTGTGTTTTTAATTTTTTTTCCCCTTCTTTCTTTTTAGCCTTTGACCTTTTTTTTGTGGAAAGGCTGTTAAGTACATTGCAAAAGGAGGATCCTACAAAGCTTCTAAGCATCTACTTGAGAAAGAACTAATTCTATATTTTAGCGAAAGGTACCATTTATGGTGCAACTTTGTTTTTAAAAGAGAGGACATTCGCCTGATAGTTTCAGTTTATCTGTATTACTGTTGCTATTCCTGTCTGTAATTTCTGAAGGACTCACTTCTAATTTGCCTCTCAACATTTCCAGCCACTTTTGTAATTTGCAAGTGAATCACCTCTTGCCCAGATAGTGTTTCATTCTGTGCAGGCTGGCAGGCAGAGCTGCAGTGCCCTCCTTACCCTCCTAGCGAACAGCAGCATGTCCTGCCTGCCGCTCTCCACCACCGTGCGCATTCTGTCCGTCAGGTCAGAAATGTTCTCACAGAGGAAATCGATCTTCAGCAGCCTCTGCTCCTTCTGCACCAGCTCTGCCTCTATCTGCAGCAAGGAGGAGACCACAGTGTAAGGAAAGGACAGGGGAAGGTGCAGCACAAAGTGTTCTGTGAATGCCTCGAGCTGCTGAAATAATACCGGTGAACAGTCATAAATGAATACCTTCACTCTCAGATTTCTCAAAATTTACACCTTCTCTGCCAAGACTCAGGCCCAAATTGCTTCAGTTGGTTGCTGTCAGTCGTACAATTCTTCCATATCAGGCCAGGCCCTTTTGGGGGCAGGGGTTACACCACTGTTACTGCCTTGCTGAGCTTTTCTTGAAAGCAATGGGGCTTTTTTCTAGTCATAATTTTTTTCATCTTCCAGTTCCTTGAGTCACATCACAATGGAAGCTTTCAGCTCTTGCTTTAAATACTTTTCCCTCCTCATGCTAAAAAAAGTATGGGCTCCATAAACAAATTATAACTACAATGACTTTAAATCCCATGGAGATTGAAGTAGACATTTAAACTTATCACAACTCCAAGAAAACCTTCTTCCTAATGTGTAGGCTGGTGGTAGCAGGCTCTGGCCTGCCCGGCTATGCGGAGCTCCCTCCTGTCAAGGAATCTGGGACAGTAAAGCAAAAAGCTTGGGTAATTCAAGCAGCTGTGTTCAGGGTCTGTCTTTACAAACTGGATTTCAAAAGAAGGACTCTGGCAGAGCTTGCTGCTACTGCCCTCACAACTTCAGAGCCCTCTGTGAATCCCCTCCAAACACTGAACACAATGGGAAGAGTTTTGTGCTTCTATAACTGGGACAGACAAAACTGTATAAGAAAATGCTGTTCTTTTACCTTCCTCCCCCACCCAGAGGACTCTAAAGTGGCTTTCTATTGGACCTAATGCTTCCCTCTGGAATCTCCCAGGGCAGTCACCAGCAGTGCTGCAGTCAGGTGTAGCTGCTGGGCTGGCCTGGCTGATGCTTACACTAAGCTCTCTTTGGTGGCTCCTTTTTCAGCAGGGAAGCAAAGCAGTGGGGCCCAGCCCTGCCAAGGGGCAGCGTTTGCTTCTGTGTCACACATGCAGACTTTGTGACAAAGCTGGCAGCTCTGCCTCCCGCTCACAGCCTGTGGATAGTGGTGAACAGCTCATGGCTGCTTAGCAAGGACTGATAACCCTGTTTGCTAGCAGTTTATTATTCTGCATTTCTCTCCCTCTGCTGCCTTTTCTGTGCCTTCCCCTGGTGAGGTGGGTCTGCTCTGAGGTGCCAATGATGTGAAGAGAGTCAGCAGAGGATGCTGCAGAGCCAGGGGTACCTCAGAGAGCTCCCCCTCCCCAGCCTGTCCTTGTCACAGACACATTTTATGAAAAATTCTTTCCTTAGGATTTTTTCTCCTGAGAAGCTGAGAGGCCTCAGGAACAAAATGTAAACAATGGTTATCTGCTGCTGTGGAATGCAACAGGTGCATCTGTGATTGGTGTCATGTGGTTGTTTCTAATTAATGGCCAATCACAGTCAGCTGGCTCAGACTCTCTGTCCAAGACAGAGCCTTTGTTATCGTTCCATTCTTTCTCTATTCTTAGCCAGCCTTCTGATGAAATCCTTTCTTCTATTCTTTAGTATAGTTTTAATATAATATATATCATAAAATAATAAATCAAGCCTTCTGAAACATAGAGTCAATATTCTCATCTCTTCCCTCATCCTAAGACCCCTGTGAACACCATCACATGTCCTGGAAGAAGTCAAATGTCCCATGTTCAGTTGACCGGGAAAGTAGATGCTAGGCTGGAGTTCACATTGGCCAGTCATAATTATTTTGATTCCTCTTACAGAAGGTTTATTTTAAAAATAAAAGACACTATTTGCAATTTCTAAAAGAGGTCAAGCACAGCAGGATAGCTTATGATATGAGAAGTGACATTACCTTGTCAATCCTTTTTAGCAGCTCAGGTGGAGATGGGTCCTTCCCTCCCATTTCTTGCTTTCTGTTCTCGTTTGTGGCATCACCATAGTTTTCCTCCAGCTTTTTAATCTTGTCCCTGCACTGGGAATACTAGCAAACAAAGAGCCTCAACAGTTATTTATTCCCACCAAACTCCTCCCCAGACTTTGGTCTGGAGGCTTCAAAAGAGAAGGATTCCTTTTACTGGGAAGGAGGGCAGGTAACATAAAATTATGAGCCATTTAAAATTTTTCTTTTAGAAGAGAACTACAGTGTGACAGTTCCAGGACAGAGGAAACCCTGCTATTTGACAGAAATGGAGTTCTACCTGTTTCTTGGTGCTCAGGCTACTTTTTGGTTTTTATCCTCAGGAATACAATAGAAAGCCCTGCTTCCCTGCTGGCCAGTACTGAGGGTCTCATCCCTACAGACATCCAAGTTTTCTACACTAACATTCCCAGGCACGTGTCCTGAAGTGACACTGAGCAATGAGGTACCCTTGGGGCTCACAGAGGCAGGTGTGCCCTGACCTTTCCCATGCAAGACCTTCCCACGGAATAATGCTTCCCAGAATATGCTACAGGTCCATCCAGGCTCAGCATAAATACTCACTGAACCAGTGACTGGGGCTCTTTTCTCATTTTTGGACTTCCAAGACTGACAGTGGTGGGGCTCTGATGTGCACCTGGCTGGCTGTCAGTGAGCTGTTAGCACTGACACAGCTACCCAAGTGTAAATGTCAACCATCCACTGCAGGTGATGAGTGATTAAGGAAATAAGTGGTTCCAGGCTCTCAAAGTTATGAACAATCACCAAAATATAAAGTAAATGTTTAGATGTTGCCAGGATGAGGTTTGTCACTCGAAGTTAACAAGTCATATTTAACTAGAAAAGAGAAAACTGACAGATATTCTCAGGTGGCAGTGGAACATTATCAGAACACTTAAATACTTATTTTCCTAGTAAAAAAAGCACCACACAACTCACTCCTGCACACTTTGTCTAAAAGCAGCTAAAGTAAAAACCTTAGATGAGTGTAATGAACAATTTCCTCAGCAAACCATGATTCTGAATATAGCTAGGTACTGAAAGTTACATTTTGCTAACAAATAGCTAAAACTCAAGCCCAAAAATACACAGAATGGAAGAATGTAAAAGCAGGGCCAGCACAAACAGCAGGATGCAGCTATGCTTCCAGTGATCTTTTCTATCTGGGGCCAAATTTCTCAACCACTAACTCAGGGGAAAGCGCCTTGTTGGAGGCAGTGGTATCTTAATGAGATTAGGGGCAGCTCACCAAAGAAAATTGTGCAGGACTGAATAGTTAATTTAGAGAAAGACTAAGCAGCAAAACCACAGTCCAAAGGTCATAAAAAAGTTTCATGTTAAATATAAACACTAGCCTCACTTTTAAATGCAATATGAATTTGAAGTGATCAGATGCAGGCCAATCCAAAAGCATCAAAGTGCTTTTAGAGATAACCTTGCTATTCTGTGTCTGCTTAAGTACCATGACTACAGGTATCTTTCTTTATTTTTTTACTAATTTGTAGTGTTTTCCTAGGAAAAGACTATCTGGGTCATAGGAGATTCTAAGTCTTAAAATTTAAAAAAATCCTTTCTCTCTTTCTTAGAGTGGATTTGATACAGGGAACAGGAAAAGATTATAAGAGAGGCTTTTCTGCATTGGATTGTAATCAGTCAGGAGGAATTGTTGAAGGAGGGAACACGTCTAGATAAAGCAACTGGTCTGAAAAAGTGGACATCAGGTTTTTATTTTGGAATCTCAGAGAAGGTAGGTGAGGTATTTACAGCACTAAAAAAGGGAAAATACAAGACCTATTTTAAAAAAAGGAGGGGGTGCAGGTGGAGCTTTGGAACCATGATAACTTCTCTTTCTGAAGAATAAATCTGGAACACATAATTAAGTTTTCTTTGTAGGCATCAAGAAGATAAAAATGACAGGGATAACAGCCACCACAGGTGTGTTGAGTCATGCCAGATCAGTGTCTACTATGATAATTCCACAGGTCTATGGATGACAAATAGTAGGTGTAATACATTTTGATCTTTATATAGCTTCAACATTTCATATGATATTCTCATAAATAAGCCACATAAATGGGTTCTTGATTAAAATACACAGTAAATACCTCATCAGTAGAATGAGGTGAAGCTCAGAGAGACTGCAAGTATATTTTGTAAAATATTCAAATGCAAAATTACCTTTCTCTGAAAAAAAGGTCTGAACCAAAAAGATAATAGTAAATTAAAAAATGTAAGTAGTTACATGTAGGCAGGAAAAATTGCCTGTACAAGCACAGAATCAAATCAACTGTTTGGATGCCTTTTCTCTAAAAAAGGGTCTGGTTGTTACACACATTAACATGATGATGAATCACCATGTCATGTGTCAGGAAAGGTGCCACCATAGCTGGATGCATAAACAGGAAGGTAACCTGCAAGATGCCTGAATGAATCCTTTCACTATCAGCCACAGGTACCAGGCACTACCCTTCAAGACAAATAAAGACTATATTGCCAAGATATAAAAGAAATGCAGAATAAGAATGATCTAAGAAAAATCTGTAAGAGCTGACTGAAGGAAACAAGGTTGTGTAGCCCAGCAAAAGGATGGGAGAGGAATATGATTAACATCCTTCCACTAAAATGAAATGTTACAGAAAGGAAAAGAATGGTCCATTTGTAATGTCCCTGGAGGACAGAATACAAACCAATATTCATACACCACAACAAGAAAGATCCAGGCTAAAGCTCAAGAAAATTTTTCCACTGTTAAGGAAAGGCTGGGATAGCTTGCTTGGGAAAACCTGTTTCTCAGTGGTGGCTTGAAGCCACAGCTTAGCCCTCTCAGGCAATCCAACGCTGCTCTGGGAGCTGATTGCTTAGATAAATTCTTCATCTCTCTACTAGTCCCTTTATTCTATGATGTGGTGATTTAGTCTGAAGATTTTCATGTATTAAAACCTGGACAAATGCTGTTGCCAAATGCCTCAAATAAACTGACAATCCTTGTATATTGCCTGAGCTCCAAGGCATGAAAGTCCCATCTACAGCACCATGACAGCTCAGCAGGTCTGCGTGTTGGACTAATTAATGATTAATGCTAAGTATTTCTCATTGATGCATGAAGGCAGATTAGTTTTTATGGGTCACTTCAGTCAGCAGGAACAGTCCCTTGATGTGCAGTCCCAATTAAAAGTTACATAGTTTTATGCCCAGAGAAAACCACCTTACAGTCTCTCCAGGTACTTTTTGTGTAAAGAAGTGCCTGTAAATATTTCTATTTTTAAATCTTTACCTAGATGTTAACAAGCCTACCTAGTCCATGTTACTTGCACTTGCTTAGAAGAGGTCTGGTCTTGCTTCAGATGATGGTATTTTTTAGCTTAACTATTCACCAATGTCTTGTGGAAATAGGAAGCTTCTGATGAAAAGCATGCAAGTGGAACATGCATCACTTTGATGATTAAGCAGCTCATGTGGAATGTAGGAGACCCAGGTGGAGTGTTTGTTCTTGCTGAACTGGCACACAGCCCTGATCTGGGCTTTTCCCCTTCCCAATGGGCACTACAGCTGCTGAGATTATGGGTCAGTTTTTGCAGTCTGTAAATATTTCTGATTTGATTTTTTTCATTGATAATAATGAAAATACCTAGTCCACGTTACTAGCACTTGCTCCAAAGGGGTTCTGGCATTGCTGAAGACAGAAGGAGGCAGGAAGGGCAGGAAAAGGGGAGGACAGAAGAGGCACAGGTACAGGATTCAGCCTGCCCAACCCAGACAGTCTGTGACCCTGGTAATTGAACAGCAGCTGAGTCAGATTTCAACATGGGGTCAAATCTGTAATCAGTGCAAGAACCAGCAGTGTGAATTTGGCAATCAACACTGAAATTCAGATTTGGGCTCATGGTTTTTGTTTACATCATGCAGATAAAGGCAAACAATTTGAAACTGCTTCTCATTGGACTTAATTCCTGTTGGCAGTGTGAGTAAGAGCATTAATGATGAATGGTGGAGCATAAGGAGATGAACTAGTTAACAGCCAGTCTGAGCCATGTAATATTCAGTAACCACAATATCTAGTTAAATTTTAAAGGTTGATAAAGGATTATTTGCCATTCTTCACTGGAAAACTCCTCACTTGGGAACAGTTATTAAGACTACTGCATGCATAGTATCACACCACTCTATATTTTCCCACATTTAAATTTTATGTCAACATTGCAAAAAGATTTAAAGCACCTCCAACAATAGCATTAAAATCCCTTTAACAGTGATTTTAGGTTTCACATGAACTATCATCATAAAGGAGAAAGTTGCAGGAATGCAGAACAGAAAAAGCAAAGTTTCATGATTGATTCTATCAGTTCAAAAAAACATCTGCATTTTGCTACTACCGTATTTGACTCAGTGAATCTCAGTCTCAGTTTAAATCTTACCTGAAAACTTTGGGGTCTTTTTAGTTTTTTTTTTCATTTAGTCTTCTTCTTTTTTTTTTATACTGCCTCAGTTCATATTTTAAGTCTGTGATGGCCCTGCAAAGGTCTTTGGGGCATGATTTGCATGAGGTATTAAAACATGTGCTATGCTTTGTTCTTGTAGCAGAGCATACAATTTCTTCAAAAGGCCAGAAGTAAGAGAATAGTGCAAGCACTATTAAACAGTGAGCCACAGCTCCCACTGATGTGAGTTTGAAAGGCAATGGAACAGCCCAATTCATGATTTGTGCAGGCATTAACAGAGTATGTATGGGAAAAATTACCATCTGGAGATAAGGTCAAAAGTAAATGAGCCATTTCAGAAAGCCAGGAAAGAATGTCCCAAGCACTGCAGTTTGTTAGCTGTTTAATGCTATTTTGTTACTAGGACTAAAACTTACACTGTTTTTGTGCAAAATAAAATATATGTGGATTATATCATTGTAGGCAGCAGAGTTTCCAGAGTAGGCTCAGGGTCAAGTGTGAATTGAGTTATTATTTTAGAAATTTGATGTCTAAGTGTATCTCCCACCCCTCCACCTACTCCATCAATACAGTTTTAACAAATTTTACAGTCTCATTTTTCCCCCATGACTCCAATTCTCCAGCTTAGTCATACTGACATTTCAGGCTGTGGGGTGGGTTAGCTGGAATTCCATACCCAGGAAACATTTGGCACATGTGAAACAAAGACCATGAGCCTACTACACATAAGCATAAAAACTCACATATGTGAAATTAAAAACATGTATCAGTGCTTTGCTAGACAGGTGTATTACTAAACTTGCTGCTTTAATTAATCTTGTACATCCAGATATTTTTTTCCAATGAAATCATCTTAAATTTTAAAATACAGAACAGTAGTAAAAAAGGTTTCCTTTAACACCAACCTGTGTCCGAATTTTCACCAGTTGTGCATCCAGGGCATTCTTCACTGAGAGCTCTTTAAAACACAATTTAACCTCTCTTTTTTTCTCAACTAACTTCAGCTTCAGAAAACTGATTTTTTCATCCATAACTTGCATCTTAGTTTCTCCGTTCCTACGCAACACCTCTTGCCTGTTTATTTTCTCATACAAAACGCCCACTTCTTCTTCTCGTTCTCTGAGCAAAAGACCACTGAAATAAAGCCAAAATTTAAAGATAATTTTTTAGAAAAATGAGTCATATTCAGTATATTCCATTCAAGAACATTAAAAAGTTATCATAAAAGATAGTAATAATCTGTGACAAAGTATGAAGCTTTCTCAATTATCATTTTAATCAAATGACAGCATTTTAAATAAGTAACAAAATAATTGCAATGTGAAAATCAGAAAACAAACTCTTGGAAAGGTGACTCTTGTCTCTCACATAATTTTTAAGGTCTTCTGGCCTTCCACAGCATTTAAAACTGGATTAAGATCAGAGAGATCTAGATAATCTGCATTTTGCAGATGCCATAGCTGTGCACAATGCACAAACCAAGCAGATGGTTACAAGTTCTCAAAGCATTCAGTAGCCAAGACACCATATTTTTTGAATAAAAGTTCTGAAGCATGATCACCACTGGAGAAATATCTACATAATGCAAAGCAGCACTGGCAGTGCAGTGAGGGGGATTGGTCAGCAAAACATTGCAGTGCCACAGACCTTCAGCCATCCTAATGAGGAGTGCTCATAGGCTAAAAAGTATTGTTGCTTCATGAATGTCAAAATTAAGCACTACCTTAGATCAAATTTAGAAATGTACCTCTCATTTCGTTGCTCAATAACCCTTTCATAATTTTTGTGTAGCTGTGAAATTTCCTTTTCCACGTGTGTGGCTGCAGCAGTAAGGCTGTCAACATGCAAATACTTTTCCTTTTCTTTATTCTCTAGCATCTCTTGTTCAACTTTGACATAATCATTTTTGATGAACTCTTTCATTCTCTCATTCTTTTTAATCTTCATATAGTCCTCCTGCAATTTTCTTTAATGTAACAGAAATGTGGGAATATTTTTAGTTCTTTCAATTTGAAACCAATTTCAGCAATTAAAAGCAGAGCTTAAATGTATTTCTCAAGCCCACAAGGGCTCCTCTATGTCTCTGCTTCACAGAAGCTTTACAAGAAGAAGAAAGACATTCTGAGAGAAGGTTGTTTTGCAAGTTCTTTCCAGCTTGAAAAGAACTGGATTCTGGCACAAGAAAAATGCTATACAGGGAGGATTGCACTTAGGAAGGCTTTTACATTTGCACTTACAGCTCTTTTATTCTGTACTAGGTAGCCCAAGCAGCCATAAATAATAAAGTTTAAGAGCATATACATCAACTATGATGAAAAGCCTTAACGTGTCGAAATCCTGCCACTCTATTTAAAAAACAATATTTAAATTATTTTGTGGTTGCAACTCAAAGTTCTTCAAAGCTATTGTTTATAAAACAGTGTGTCACAACATTAACACAAGAAAGAAAATGATTAGATTGCCCATTATTATTTCATCTGCCCATTTGACAGATGAAAAAAGAAACCAAAACATAGTGGGAGGTTAGTGACCCGATCACACAAAAATAAAGAACAGATGTTATTTCCAGATATGATTTCAATTATATATTGATCCTTTTTGATCATTGGATGATGGCTCCTAATTTAAAAAACCGATTCTTGTCACCAAATGGAGTATTTACTATCTCACAGCACAGAATTTAGAGTTACTGCATTTGATCTCTGGTATCACTTCTGGATCAAGACACAACTTTATCTACTCATGTCAACATACAAAAGAGGTAGTGAAAGGAGAAGAAAGTCTTCTGTTAAAATACAGACCTGCAGATGAAATATCCTTCCCTCATGGGCTCCATCATTAAATTGCTGATTTGCTGTATACAGGGCAGGGAGCTGCTTTCTTTCATTTCCCCCACATGTATAACACTTTGAGTACCACAGGGTATTACTGAATTTAATTAAACATCTGTCAGTCAAGTTTCAGACTGAAAGTATAACAGAATTGCAGAAATGCAATGTGTTTTAAATATTTTCTGAAAATTTCTTGCCTTATTTGGACCGATACTATGTCCTACAAATAGCATAGGTTGCAGTGAAGTCAGTGGTACTGATACTAAATTCTGTTACTGGGATTTAAAATATTTTTCATAGGCAAGAGAATTACTGAAAATTCAATACCTCTGACTAATTTTAAATCTAGCTTTGCAGAGCCCAAAATATCTGTTGGATCTGTACCGAGTAGGGACATCAATAATAATATTTATATACTTCTGATATCTATACAAAATTTATGTCTTATTAGCCTTTTCCCCCTTCTTTCATCAACTGAGAAGGCCTCAAAATTTTTACAACAAAATGTCAGCTTGTACATCTTGACAAAATTGCTTCAATCACTGAAGTTCTACCTCTTTTTCAGCTATCTCTAGCATGACTTTGAAACCAAACTACTAGGAGATTCACAAAAATATCTAGTGTGTTGTTTTTCTGATTTAAATTTCTTGGCACCAAATAATGAAGTTTTTGGAAAATTATGTTATTTTTAACTGAAAATTATGTTATTTTTAACTCAGTTTTGGCTTTCCTGTTTTGCTTACCAAGTTGGCTATTCACTGTCTCCCTACTTGCCCAAGGACAGAATACCAAGACATTGTAATTCTGTCAATATTGCAGAATTTCATCACTAGAATGACAAAAATATGGCAAAAAGATATCCTCACTAAATAATGGTCTAGGAAAAAAGAGAGTCACAAGTATCAGCTATTCTGCCTCATTATCTTTGCTGTGAATGTAACCTTTCATTCTGTCTAAGTTTGTTTGGAAATTGAAACCACACTTTATCTGAAATAAATGTTATGTAATAAACTTCAGTGTGAGTTTGAACCAAAATCCCCAATTTGATCTAATTTTATAATTAGACAGCCATATTCCTAGCTAGTGACTCATTTAATAGTCCCATGCACCACTTCATTAGGGAATCATCTGTGTCAGACCTCTATTTCTCTAAGGACAGCAGATATGAGTGCAATGGTGATGCTCACATTGAACAAAACAGAATGATAATGCAAAACCTGAGAGCCAAAAACTCTGATGAGAAATGAGAGAGTAGCCAGACAAAGTTCAAAACTACTTTCTGACAAGCACTGATGCCCAAGATAGTTGTGGAGTGTTAGTGGGATAAGAAATTGGAAGAGATTATGGAGGGGTGTTTCTATATGCCTTTGTTTTAATCAGATTTTAAAAGTCAGGATAATAACTATCAAGGATATGGGCATAATTAAAGATGGAATAGATTCCCTCCTAAGATTTTTTTCTAGTCTTAAATTTCTATAATTGTGAACTACAGTGTACTTCAAACTCACCTTTCTCTGGTCATAACAGCATGTCTTAAATTTTCTATATTATTTTCTAGCAATTTTACCCGGTGTTCACCTTCTTTTGCTTTCCACTGAGCAATACGCATCAAATCTATAGATTTGTCCTTTTCAATTTGCATAAGTTCACACATTTTAACAACTCCTTGGATTCTGAAGAAATGAGATATGTGAAAGAAATAATTATTAGCATTTTATGCCTGCATTCCTTGGATAAAATTTGCTTTTGAAGACTTTTTTGAAATAAGGTATTGTTATTATTTTCTTACTCTTTGTCGTTTTCTTTTTTCATCTTCTTGCAGATGGTTAGTTCACTATCCAGTCTTTTTAGTTCTTTACCAAGACTTTGGAGTTGAATCTGAAATTTAAATAAAATTTAGTAAGCACTTTAGATATACTAAAGAAATGTCTTCAGTGAAATTACCCAGAAAAACTCTTCGATGAGAAAAAGACAGTGAGAAGACATTATTGTAAGAACTTTTTCTTATTACAATGGAATGTTTTTATTACAACAACATAAAAAAGCACAGTTTTTCCATTTATATTAAGCTTACAATTACTATTAGTAATGTAGATACTTTGATGCTGCATCTTAAATGCTTGGTTCCCTCTGTCTGGAGTTCCACTCTTTCTACTGATCAGCCAAGTCCATCACTATATAATTATTTAGCAAATGAAACACTGAAATTGTATCTTTACAAACAAAATTTCTTTCTTACTCAATTCTGACTTTTAAGCAGTCACTGATGTCTGATGTTTGAGCAGGATTGCATTCTGTTAAGTTTCTGGATCTTTTGATTCCAGTTGTGTTCAGTCCTCAATAGCCTGGACCATCAATCTTAAATTGAGAGGCCTTTTCTCCCCTCCTACTGGTTTTGAGAGGTTTTTTTTTGAGAGTTTTTTATTGACAGTGATGAGAGTTTCCAGTGTTCTGGTGGAACTCCCCTCACTAGTAATTTAATTTCTCCCTAAGCCAGCTGGTATTTTGAACAATCTTCCAAATATATAATTTTTTACCTTGGCTTTCTGAACATCCCTGCTTTTCAGTTGCTTCTCATCAGCTCTGAGCAGAGTCAGACGTGTAAGTGTGGCTAACTCATTTCTGCATTTTTCCTGCTCTTTGAACAGCGAGCGTTCTGCAGCCATGCATTCCTCTAACACACGGGCATCTGTTTCTGATATCATTTCCTAGAGAAGATTAAATTTAAATCCCAATGCAACAATGTATCAGTGCTGGCAAACCCAAAGCTGGAATTACTTTGGGTTTATCTGCAATGTAAACAAATATACAGACTACATAGATTTAAAACCATAATTAATTATTGCTTTAAAACACCATCCACAATCCTTATAATAACATTTCAGAATATATTATCACCTAAGAGCATTTCTGTTCCTCAGTGTGACATCTCTCAGCTATTGTCCATTGGACAGAATGGATATTTATGGCTGTATAATCTTTAAGGAAGTTCAGTGCCATGTCTTTAGGAGGAGGTGATGGAAGCTCTCCAGGCTCACAAGGTTCATATCCCAAAGAATGCCAGGTAGGTACTGGAAGGCACATGTATCCAAATACAAGCAGATCCCCACTTGATAATGTTAATGAATTCAAACAAAAAACAGAAAGAAAATGGATATAAGGGTAAGAAGACAAGGAGGTTTGACCTTGGAGGTACCAAGGAGGTATGTCTGAAATAGATTGCTTCTTATGAGGTCATTTATGTAGTGGCAGGTACTAATGCTCTTGTAACACAGGTATCTGCATTGCCACACTCTGTATGGCTGTGCTGCATACAGACAGACATCCACAAATGACAGAACTGTGAAGATGAAAAATCTTAATGTACAAATGCTGGATTTTTATTGTTGCAACAAGACACGGTTTCATATCCAAAGGAAATGTATAACAATATATTTCTAACTGCAGTGTCACCAACAACATTTAGGAAGACTTAAACTAGAAAGATTTGCTTTCTGCCTTCTATTATACAACCAGTAACACCGCAAATGTTTTTAAAAATGACAGAAAAGTGGTCTTTAAAACTGAAGAAACACTATTGCATTTTCTCACCAGAAAGCTGCAGCTAAAAACTCCTTTGTTTTTTCTTCAAACAGTCCCTTTATTCTCATGATAGAAAATCTACTGTCAAAATGAAAAAATGTGAGAAAGCAGAATTCAGCACCTGTTCAGCTAAATCTCTCTTGATCGTTTCAATCTCGTCCTGCAGTTCTTGTCGTCTTTCTAATAACGCTGCATTGTACTTTGAGTTACTTTCTGCCTACAAAAATAAACCAAGCACATAGTGATGCAAATGAAAAGGAGGAAAATTTAAACTGCTGATACTGTGTTAGAAGTAGCTACATAAATTAAGAAATTAATTTTCTCCCTCCTTATAATTGCTAGTACAAGAATACTTAATTGAGTAGAGTTCCTCAGCAACCTACTGAAGTTTCTCAAATTTTTCATTCAAGAACTATGAACACTAAACTTCATGGAAATTTAGGAGGTTTATGGTTTTCAGCAACTAAATTGTCATTTTAAAAAAATAAACACAGAGACAATATATAAAAATATAACCTAAATTAACAGAGGATTTTCAGAGTGAAATTCTGAGCTTACTAAAGGGAATAAAGAGTTCACATCTACATAAAATGGATATCACATTTTTTTCTCTTTATCATTACAGTAGGATTTTCATTAGACCCTAGAAAGTCAAATCTAATAACACAAACATTGATGTATTATTTTTTCATGTACATTATGGTAAAATTATATTCTAATCTATTCAATCAGATTTTAACACTAAGTATGTGAAGGAATACATTAAAAACACTACCTCTGATTAAAATATATCTGATCAATCTCACTACATGATATAACTTGTAAGAAAAAAAGCTGTACAAGCCTCACTGTAATTAACTTCACTGAAAAATTCTTTATGGTTATAAGAAAGCAAGAAAAAAATGCATCAGGCTAACTATGATGGCATATATTGCCTCTGTGAAATTGATGGGGACAAACAATTTAGCAGGAACTGCTCTGATAGGAAAAAGGAATAGTAATTTTAAAATAAAAGAGGGAGAATTAGATATTAGGACAAATTTTGTTCAACAAGGCCCAGGTTTCCCAGAGAGGTGGTTGATGCCCTATCTCTGGAAACATTCAAAGCCAGGCTGGACTGAGGTCTGGCCAATCTGATCTAGATGAAGGTGTCCCTGCCTACCGCAGGGGTTTGGACCAAATAACCTTTAAAGGTCCATTCCAACCTAAATGATTTTAATTTAAAATCTGTAATTCATATGGATGGGAAAAAATTGCATTTAACAACACACCTGGAAGATATTCAAAGATAATACTTACAATCCTGTGATATCTTGCTCAGATCACAACCAGATGTTAGAATTCACTATAAATAATATTGATAGGGAGATATTTTGCACTTGTTATTTTCCCTTCTCTGACAGTATTGTAAAATTAAATTCTGTTCACTTGCATTATGGCAAAGGGAAACAAGAGACACAGTACAGGTCAAATTGTGGAGTTACTTTAGTTTCAGCTGCAGCTCTGAGATTTAATTTAAGTTTACTAAAATGGCAGTTAAGCCTGTCCTAAGAAAGTGACTTTTGGTCTTGCGTAGGGATCAAAAATAACTTTTCTGTGGAGCATATATTAATTACCACTTCTGCTGTGTAAAAATAAAAAGCTCATCTAAACATCTTTAATCTGAATGTTAAGGTTCACGTAGGACAGGGCTAAACTTAGGCACCTTTGGCTGTCTCTGTGCTGGCCTGAGCAAAGAGAACTCTCCACATGAAGAGGAGCAGCAGCTCTGCCCCAGGCTGGAGGCAGCAGCACCAGCAGTTCTCTTTCACACACAATTCTGGTGTTTAGCAATAGCTGACCTTTCACAATGTACTAACGAGAAAAACACATTTGAAGGAAGTGCTCCTGTAATTTCCTTATTCTACAAACCAGTCATTCTGCACTTAGCATATGATTCAAAAGAAGAAATTTAGGGAACCACACTGATGTACTGCTCCTTCTGCAATCACATTATTTATACAAACAATTCATTCTTGTGATTTTTTTTTTCACTTTGAAACACAATGAATAAATGTAAATCTGGGGGTTTAAGTAGTTAAAGAAATTTTATCTACTTAAAATATTGGTTTTAAATTTTTGCTAGGTGTGCTCCCAAGTCTTACAAATTAAAATTGTCCCAATATAGCAAAAGCCAAGCAGAATCAAGTTGGCCACTTGACTCTTCCTTACTGCAGTACTGTATTTCAATGCACAGGAGCAATGATTTCACATTTGCTCTTCTAACAGAGCAATCAAAAGGAATCAAAGAAAATATGGAGCATGGGAGGAAGGGCTAAAACAACTCTATTGCTGGGGCTATTTGCATTAGAATAGCATCCTGCAGCTGCTGGTGTAAAATACTGATCAGAATTCCACTTCTGTCTCTCATGGCATTCCTTTTCCCTTACTCCTCATGATGATGCTTTTTGTAACATACATACAAGGTCTTGCCCTTCCACAGGGTGAAGGAATTGGGTTGGGATGGGTTTGGATCTCACCCCAGACTGTGAACTCTAACCACAGCTGCTGGTGAGTTACGGCATTTGATTTTAGCATTACATGTTTTTGAACAATTGTGGCTCTCCATCCAGGAACATCTCAATGGGAACACATGCAAAAATACCAACTCCCAGATTCTCTTAGCTGATACTGAACAGAAACTCTTTAAGCATTAAGATCAAAGTCTGGAATATGAGTCAGCCCTTTAATCATTATTCAAGGAAATTCAATCCAAAACTTTGTTGCATTGAAACTTTGTTTTTCTAGAGCTTTCCTCCCTTCTCCCAGGTGAGCTTATATTACTAGGCAATACACAAGTGAATTCAGGAGGAATTTCAAGGGAGACAAAAAAATATTGTTCAATAATATTAAATATTATCAAGTAATAATTGGAGTTGTTTAAATAGCTAAGCTTAGTATATATGATATTTGACATGTATAGCTATTTTTAAAACTTTACAGTTATGTAAGACTCTTTTCTGCCCTGACTTGCTTAGAAGGACAAAGAAAAATTTGAAGGACAGTGTCAAGGTAGGAAACATCAAGTGCTGTGAAATAACCTGACTAAACAAGATTAATTTTTTATGACTCAGAATTCAGACTGAGCAAGGAGCAAGTATAGGAGAAAATATATATAGGAAAGAGAGAATGGAAGAACCAGTGATGAGAGAAAGAAAATATAAAACCAGTAAATTTTTAAGAAATAATTGGAAGCGGAAAAGAAAGAAAATGCTTTGAATACACAAGCAGAATAGCGCTTCCCTTTATCATAGTCAAACAACTGAGTAAAACAGAAAAGAGTAATGCATTATTGAAAGAAGAATGGGTGAAATACTAAAGCAAGGAGGAAATGAGGAAGATGAAATAATGGTTTCCCCCCTTTTCCCTTGTAGGACTGTCAAGAGATTTCATAGAAATATTTCTTAGGAGAAAATTTACATTCTTTATGATCAATACATTCATACAAACCTCTGATTTGAGTCTTTTATGTGTTGCCTTATCTGCTTCCAAGGAATCCCAAATGCTTTTCAGTTGTAACTCTAACTTTTTTAAACTTTTCAGTTCTTTATCTTTCTTTGTTTGATGGTGACTGAGAATATCTTGTTGATTTTTGTTCTCCGAGATACATTTATCCAAATTATTTTCCAGAATTTGTCTATATAGACAGACACAGAATTTTAGAAACAGGTAACTTAATCAAGACATATGTGTAAACAGGCACAACTATTTTAATGGTTTTGAGTACCTCGTTACTATGGCTCAGCAAGACAAACTTGTAAACTACTTACAAAAATTACCTAAAAAGGTAGCATTTTTATAACTATAATCAATTATGTCAGTGACGTCCCACAGTCTGTTCTAAATATGCTAAAAATGTCAGCAAATCTAATACATATAGGAAGAAGAAAACATTTTTTAGTATAAGAGAACATTTCAAAATAAGATGCTGTGAGCCTTCAATACAAAGCTTGAAATGCAAAAATTGTTGCTGAGCATATGGCCAGAATTGCAACTGTACATCTCCCTCTGCAAAGGTGGAATCACTGGAAGCTTGTCTTCAACCTAACAGTTTATTTTACTTTACCAAGTAAATAGAAAATTATAATTGAAGGGAAGATGATTGACCAATCCCCACTGAAATTCAGGACTACATGAGAGAAGACATCTGAGCCTCGTTTGAAAATGAAAATACTGAAATACTTTATTCTTCTTCAAATTACTTTCAGTGGGTTACACAGGAAAGAAAATGTGTGCACTAAAGAGAGAATCTCTCTAAAATATTTCACTTTTAAGAGCAAAATCTCATAGAATTTTATCAAATGCTTATGTTTTTTGATGTTCTTCTTCAAGCCAGATCCTAAATTCTGTATTCCAAATTTTTACATAAACATTTTGGAAGTGAAAACCAAGCCTGAAAATTTATAATTTGCACGGGATGCAACATAAAACTTGAAAATAGAAGCAACAACAGAAAAAAAGAAAAAATTTTGAGAATAGAGAATCATTCACTCTTTCCATATGGCTCATGTCTCCTACTCTAACCTGTCTGATAGGATGGCAAATTCCTTCTCTGCATTAATTTCTAGTGATTTTGTCAAATTATTGCATTGTCGTTCATTCTTTTGTATCAAAGTTTGTCTCTCATCCAGTTCCTTCATTACTTCTTTTTTTTCTTGCAAAATCTCTTCAGTCCTTTTTTCAGTGGCTCTCAGGGTGCTATTCAATTCTTCTATTTGGTCATTAAGGGCTTCATTCTGCTTCTCTGCATCACTGTGGATATATTTTAACAAAGCAGTAAAGGTTAGATTTTCCACATGCATATTTAAAAGACAAAATGTAAGTTGCCAGTTTTTGTGGACATACAAAATAATTTCACAATAATATATGTCAAATGTTTGAAATCAGACAGTGAGAACCTTCAAATTCCAATACAGTCCAACAATAAAACTGCAGATAGCCATGGGGCTATGGGACAGCTTAGCACCATGACAGTATTAAAAGAGTTCAAGGAAATTGGTCTCTGTCAACATTGCTACATCCATAGGTGTGACATTTCTAACCATTCTTCCTAAGAACTGGGAACTCGGGTTAGTTTATTCTGTGATGTGACACAAATATACAGACTCATTTAAATATTTCATTAATAGCACAATGTAGGTTTTACAATTGCTTTAGAATTGCTGTAACACTATAGGGCAAACTTCTTAGATTTATGATGGCAGAGTTGCATTAAGTAGAGTAGTGAGGAAAGCGTAGAAGAAAATCATCATACAAGTTTTATACTGGAGAAATGTAACAGTCAAACAGTTGATGTGTTATTACAGATAGGGACTGGAAGCAAGACACACAAACTTCAGTGTAACCCTGTGCATAAACAGGGTACAAAACCCTTCATTCATCTGGATGGCAACTGGGCTGCTGGGATCTGTGGGTGACCTGGCTGAAACTGCACAGAGCTAATTAGATTTTACACTGAGAGAAAACAGCACATGCCATGCTTCAGAGGAGAAGAACCCCAACTTCATGAGAGAGAAGAAGAAAAGACTGGCTGCTGGCTTGCATTTCCCCCGATGTAGAGTCTACAACTCATGTCAGGACCTTACAGCAAAGCAGCTGTGCCTCCACAGCTGGTACAGAAGGACAAAGGGAAAATGGGTTTGCAGCTCAAGCCACACTGTCAGCTGTGGAACTGTTAGTTTAAATGTTGATCCTAACTTTAATCAACAACCATCCTCAATCATTTCTATAACCAAGGGATGAGAAGAAGCTATACATATATATAATCATGTATATAGAATTATTTACTAAAAACATACATTTTTTTCTGTTTCAACTTCTCAGTTTCTTTTGCAAGTTGCTTTGGAACACCAAGGATCCTAACTAGCTCAGCCTAGTAACAAAACAGAAAGGTTTGATTAATAGCTACAAAAGCTAATGAGTTTTCATAGCAGTAATATGAATTTAGAACTGCTGTGAAAATCAGTTGGAAACATTTTTTAATTGTTTGAGTTTTTCCCAGAGAATTGTAGCTCCTACTTTTAAACTAAACATTGATGTTGACAATTTAAGTGTATATTCAAGATAAAAATTATGCTTGAATATTATGAATACATCTTATTATGCTACTTATACCATGGAAGGAAGCAGACCCAGATATGTTTTTAATTCTCAGTGTAAATGTGTATTAACTGCAATCTGAACAACCTAAAATAACACAACATAACTAAGATGTCTTTATAGAAACCACTTTTTAATCAAAACCATGACTCTTAGTATTTCCTACAGGAGCAATAAGGATATGGTACAGCAGCATGTTTCATGCCTATTGGAAAATGGTCTGATATTTAATGTAATGGCACAATGAATTTGGAATGACAACACCCAGAAGATTCACTGCTCCTTTGGGCAAAACCTGGACCCGCACACACACTCACAGATACATAGGCACAATTATTTTTGTGTTACTTTTAAATAAGTAAGCATCTCCTGAAGCTTTTTCATTTCTTCCTCATCTGTCAATATCATCTTTTCTTTGGATGAAACAGCTTCTTTCATTGAATCAATTTCTGCTTTCCTCTGGATTACTTCTTCGCTGAGCTCATCACAACTTTCTTTCAACTGCTGAACTTTATCATTTTTCTTTAAAAATGAAGTAAAAGACCAGATTAATTGTATTTCCCCTTTTACATTGTGCAGGTTTCTGATAACACAGACTCACTAAAATTGATGATGGTAACATTTTTAGTGACAAGATACAAAATGTATGTTCTTTACCAGATGAGTGTTTCTTCTATCAATACTAACAGAATTTATTTCCAACAAAGCCACATATATTCCTCAGGACTTATGACAACAAATGTATTTTTCATGTTCACATCCTAGAACCAAAAACCTGTGGCTACCTTTACATGCAGTATCTATTTGCTGAAAATAGTAAACATTTCCTTCGGTAAACAAAATTCCAGATCTTTTCTGAATCAGTTATTTACTGCTTGCCCTAGTTATCAAAACTGAATTATCTAATATAGCCTATAGAATCTATTTATTTTAAAATATATTTTCTATATATTCTATTTAAAATAAACTCTAGAAATGCACACTGAGAAAACATTTTCTGTGATTTTTTATATGTTAGTTGACAGAACACAAAACATTGCTTTTCTCATGTTTCATACTTACCTTTTCTTTTGACATTCTTTCATATTCATCTTCCAGAAGCTTTTTTTCTTCTCTCAAACTACAGTAAAAATCAAAGCAGAATGAAATATACTAGTAATAGAATAATCATTACTGTAATACAGTAAATGGTAAAAAGGTATGAAAGCCTATGCTGTGTTAGACTAAAAGACATGGTGAATTAGAATGAAAGGTGCTCAGTTTTAAAGCAAGTTTGCTGACTGGTGACTGGGGGCCCTGAAGGTCTGGGTATGTGTATATGGAGGTGTACAAATCTTTTTCTACAGTGCACACATGTAAAATTTGAACCTGATTTTTCTTTGATTTCCTCCTGCAGGGGTGCATTCATGCCTCACTAACCCTTGCCTTTTCATAGTGGCACCCTACACCCACAGTTCCTCCCAAGCTCAGGAAACAAAATCTTAACACAGAAATGTGGCAAAAGGAGAGAGGAGATGGGTAATAAATAGCCACAAAGACATCAAGTATAAAAGAAAGTGTAGCTGCTAGTGAGACACCTTCTTCTTCCTATGAATGTTTTCACATACACATTTACTCTTGAGACAACTGTAACTGAAGCTCCTCAAATCTGGACAAGATCCTGTGGGAAAAAAAATCCTGAAAAGTGGCAGGGGTTATAGGCTAAGCCAAAGGAGTGTGGTAGAAAAGTAAATTGAATAGCCACAGTCATCTTAACCTGTATCCAAAACTAAATTGCAATTTAATTTCAGGCAACAATGGAGACAGATGCTGAAGTGAAGAAGGAAGAAAGGAAAAACCAGGAAAGATTAGACCTTGTGGGTGTTCAGTAACACTGTCCTGAGAAAGATGAAGGAATGGTTATAAAAAGGGAGCTCAGCCAACAAGTTTGTTGGATTTACAATAGGAAGCTTTTTGGTAGCAGGTAGGTAAATACTGCCAAATACAAAAATGATGCCTTCTGAAGGTGCATCCCCAGTGCATGCACAGAACAGCTGTGCTCCTGTGTAGGTAAATGGGCTACAGCAGTCTGTGTGCCATCACAGCCAAACAACTTCACTGAGTCCTCTGTCCCAGGTGTAGCAAAGAATCAACTTCAGCCTAAATTTATGTTTATAACTCCAGTAAGAGGATGTGCTGGTCAACTTTGTTGAGACTCATGGCAGTCTGGTAGAACAAATAACTCTTTAAGTTAGGGAAGAATTAAGAGAAAGGGACAAACTTCCATAAAACAGTTGTGTCACTTGGAGCTATAACAATGGCAAGGGTCTCCTGGGCATCCCCACCCAGCCAAGGCAGCCATTACAGTTACCTCATAATGTGGCTGATACAGAAAAGAGGCAGCTGATTGCTATTTCTTTTTTTTCTTCTGAAACCTTCTAGCAGCAGTGCAAGACTTTGCATGGTGGTGGTGGTTCAGATTTTAGAAAGTGTGTGGGCATGGGAACAGAGATCAGTCTCCCAGCAGCCAACCTCATGGAGGACCATCCCTAGGACCTTCTGCTCAACCCTTTAGCAGGGCTGATTTAAGATTCCCTCCTCCATCCCACCACTCTCACTCTCTCAAGAAACTTTCTTAAATTTGAGTCCTCCAACAAAAGGAGTGAAGCTTATACCTGGAAGTCTCAGGAAACATATTTCTAGTTAAGGAAAGAAAATAGTGGAAAAAAAGAGAACTGGGTTAGTGGTGTTGCAATATAAACAAAACAACTTCTCTCCCACAAATAAGAAACTCTGGCTCAGATGGAGAGCAAAGAGAAAACAGACACAGGGTAGATGTTGTTGACATACAGCATGTATGATATTTGTATGGGCAGACTACAAGTATGTCTCAACAGGGACTGGTAAAGACAAAAACTAATTTGAATGTCAGCATTTGAACACTCACAGAGTGACCTAGTTTGCAGAACAAAATATTTTAAAGAAAAAGGTTGAATTTAAATAAATTTTCCTTCAAAACTGATAAAATTAATTTTAAAAAATTAAAAAATTCCAAAATCATCTTCCAAACCCGTTTTGGCAGTGCTTCTAATTGAACTCCTTGGGACCGGCATAATCACACTAAGGATAGTGAATGCCCACTTTGCACAAATATCCATAGGCTGTTTGACTGCCACAAAATATTATTAAATAAGTCCTGTGCAAAATGATTAAAGAGGTACTGCAGGGCTTGTGGTTAGTCTGTGCTGTGCCCTCTTTAATATCACGCTGGATGATCAAAAGAGCAATGCCAAAGATCAGGAGGGAGAGCAAAGCTGACACTGCTTTCTTTTGTCACATTCCTCACTCATGAGGACAGATTCCTGTGGACCATTCCAGTTTCACAACAAAGACTTTTCCATCCAGCAAAAGTAAAATGATTTGAACACTTGATTTTCTGTGACATAAACAAAGGCAATGGTGAATGACAAGGGCCAAGTTACCTAAACAGCTGGCAGACCAGCTACTTCCACATAAAAACCAGTGGAAGTGCGAAAAGAAAAAATGGGTAAAAAGAAATAAGTTAAATCTCTGCCTTTTGAGCAATGAGTTTGATCCAGCTGTCCATAGCCAGAAGCCAGGCAGCCCTATGCTAGCATCCCTACTTTGGGGCTTCCTTACTGTCAGGGATAAAAACTGGGACCTCCAAAGGTCATCTCACGTTCCAGGTGACTGTTTTAGAATGACATAAATCACCAGTTTAAGACAATATATATCTCTCTCTGGACTCTAAAGGGGAGGCAGGAGGATTAACACACATTTAGGAATCAAATAAGATTCTTCAAATAATCGAAGTTTTGTCTCTGATTCAACAGATGAACATAGAAGCTTAATGTAAGATAAGCACAGAAATTCTGGTCCTTCCATTTACATTTGAATCTTATAATCTTTGTTATATGGATATCAACCTCCTGACTGTTTTACTTAGACATCAATTGCAACAAACAAAACAACTGCAATTGGCATTAGGCATTTAAATTTCCCATTATTTTATAGCCGTTCTCTGATGGATGTATTTTTCAACATCATGTGGATTTTATTATTACCATTGTTACGCCTCTAACAATACACACAATGGAAAGAAGATAAAACTCTTAAGTTTAGGCATTAATGTGCACAAATGTTTCTAACATTGCTCTTCTTATTTTATGAAGCCTGATAACAGTACTGTACATGAAAAGCTGTCAGAGGAGCAGTTGTAATGAGTTAAAAAAGGCAGTTGGAAAACTGGGTCATTAATAAAAATACATTCCAGATTTTTCCCTGAGAGACATTTACAGCTGCAAGCTGACACAGAAATAAAAAAATTAAGACAGAGATTAAGAAATGTAGGGGTAGTTGTCAACAGAAGTCCATTTCACTTCCTCAGCTCACAAAATAACCACAACACTGTCAGCATTAGAAGTCCCATCATGGAAGAAGTGAACTCCTTCAGCTGCTGTCTCTCAGAGCTGGGATTGCCTGGAAATCCACAGAAGGTGTTTGGCACTTCACAACTCTAATCCAGTGACCACAGGTAGAAGTTATCCCAGCTGACAAGCTGCCAGCATGAGCTTCCTGTAAGGCTGTGAGCTGTAATTAATTTGTAGGTACCAGAAAATGCAGTCACAAGACCAGCTGATAACTTCAGCTGTGGTGCTATTTATTTTACTTCTGGCCTGTAATTCTTTACTAGAGGAGCTATGGATAACAGCTTAACTTTTCACTTTCTAATTATTGAGTGACTAATACAGAAATAATTACAAGTGTTGAAATAGTTTTCCTTATTTGCAATGCTTCTACAAGGACAAAATCAGTTTTGCAATCCTAACTTGCATGCAGTTGCAGAGTGCTTCAGTGAGGAGCTGTTTTGTTACCTGAACAAATCACTGTAAGAGCTGGAGATTGGACCTAGGCTTTCAAATAAAATTGTTTCCAAGCATCAGGCACCTTTAATCTCACAAACTCTTGTTATAGATAAATTTAGTACAAATTAATTGCTTACTTTTAAATGAACTGTTTAGATGATATATTTAGATTTAATATTTATTATTTCTCAACAATAAACAACTGTTGATACCATTGTGTAACAAAGAAAACCAGATCTTTATTTTGTCTCATAAATCAGAACTTCAAGACTCACACAAACATTAAAGTGAAATGTCTCCTTAAGCCAGAACAAATCCTTGCTGATCACACTGATTGTTCATTTCTTGTTCCACTAATTTGATTTTTTGATCTATATTCTTACTTACTGAGGCTTCTTATCAATTACATGAAGAAATGTCATGGCTCTGAATGCAATTTTAGCAGAACTGAGTGGAGATGACTCTTTTTCCCTTTACTTTATTACCCTTGCCAAGTACTTTTTGAGAGGAAGAATACTCCCAGAGTCAGCTCTGACTTTGGGATGGTGTCCCAAGCTTTATAATAAGGTCAGTAAAATCCTTCCAACCCTTGTTCTCCCCCTGAGCTCTCAGGCAGACACACCAGCAATGAGCCCAGTACATCCATATGGCAGAACAGCCCACAAACTGGGAGAGGAGGCACATATCTACAGTGGGAACACACCCCAAACATGCAGTCACCCTCAGGGTGACTTCCCTGACAGCTGAAGAGTGCCAAGAAATACACTAAATACCTCATGTACCTATTGAAATGATTAAAAAACTCACAAAATTCCCGAAAACCTGATGATACTTCAATGCTGAAAGCAATTGCATTTATTCTGGGAATGCTGACAATTCATTGGAACTATAAAGAATTAAAACAGAAAATGAAATATCATCTTCAGCTGTTCAGAAAGGTCTGGAAAAATTGTTTACAGAGGCAAGCAAATGGGAAATTAAATAGGGATAGAAGAGTGTGGAATATTAAGAGCCCTTGAGACTTTTGCTAATGTTATGGCATATCTGTATGACTCCCCAAGTGTGAAATGTTGCCATTGTCAGATTTGAATCAAAGTTCAAAAAAGGTGCTAAGTACTCTTAGATACCAGAGAAAGTGATCTAAGGCAGGAAATAAAGTCATCAGAGATAAGAGGGATGCTTCAGTGAAATAAAGGTTTACAGAAACAGGGGAACAGAGATCTGCAGAACCAGGGAAACAAGATCAGATTTCTCACTTCCAGCCCAGCACTAGGTCTGAGTAGACATTCTAAAAAAAGGATAAAGCAGTAGATAAGAAACATAGATAAACCCTTTAAAACCTTTCCCCCTCCATGTTCCCGGTCTGCTATACATATAAAAGTAAATAAACAACATGTTTGTTTTCAGACTGAACAGCCATTAGTCATAATTCCCAAAGAGAAATTTACTTGTAAGCGCCAAGCACAGCTGGGACTGTATTAACACAGTTGGACAACAAGGGAAACTGTGTTCCAGAGAGATCAAGGGCCAAGAGAGGTTGGGCCATGACTTTTTATCCTGAGAAATTAAGAAAACCAAACAGCAACATAACAGCAAACTTCTAATACTTTTGATGGAGCTTTCCTCCCCTCTGTGACGCTGTCCATGCACCAAATACTTCAGAAAACATTGCTTTACTCTTTGGACAAAACCAGCAAGCATATGGATCTTCATTTTACATCAGTGTTACTATTAGATCACCTGCTACTCACAACTCTGTTCTGGATATTCACTTTCACTGTCTTTCACAGGCACCAAACTCATCCCTTCATTCCAAACATGTATTCACACAAATAATCTGGTTTTCTTCACAGTCCACTTCTCATTTGTTCACTACGTTCACTCATCCATTCTTCACACATATTGTGCTAGTCCTGTTCATTCCAGACTAGTCCAACTCAAAATCAGTATAATTTCTTGAATATTTCTGGAATTTCTCTCCCAGTAAGCAAAGCCACATATAACCAAGGCACATCCTTCTCACTCCACACCCACAACATGTGTAAGACCCAATGCTACCTTCAGGCATGAAACTGATTCCAAACAGGGAACAATTAAATAATCTGTAGGTCCTGAGTTGGAAAAATTGACAAATAAAAAGGGCAAAGAGTTGTACAAAAGAGATCTATCAAACCATTCTGCATCAGTGAATCAGATGCTCATTGTCTCATCCATTACAAGAACTGCAGGGCACTACATGAAGCTGTAGGGGTCAGGTTAAAAAAGTAAGGAGGTGGCAGCTCTTACGTAGTTAATCTGTGGAACGCTTTGCCCAGCGTGGTGCAGTGTCAGAAGTTTGTTATGAAGGAGACAGAAGTTCAAAGGAATAGAGGTCAGCTGAGGATTCCCAAACACAGAGGACTGTATTTGGCTCATGAAATCCCCACATCACGAGAGGCTGGAGCTGCAGTTTTGGTTTCCATTAGATAATGCACCTCACAGTCCTCTGGTCTCTAGCTGGGTTTGATCCTGGCCAATACATAAGTTTCTTACTACAGTGAAGGAACATTTTTTACAGCATGACTGACACAAAAAGTAGATTTTTAATCTGCAAGATATTCAGTTCATATATAAAAATTAATCCAGTAAATGTGCAAGGATAACTGGAAAAATACCTACACTGCATTTTGTATGGAATAGAGTTCTCATTTTCACTGGAGGTAGAAAATAGAGAATGGGAAAATATTACCTAAACATATAAATCCTCACAATTTTTTTGGAAATCGATGCAAAATCAGAGAAAAAATGGTCAAAAGATACATGAGGACAAATGGTTAAAAAGCATGATACTTCTGAAGAACTAATTTCTGGACTGCTTGGAAATTGCAGTAAATTCTGTATTTAATAATTATTTCAGGAAATTTCATGTTTCTTAGTTATCTCATAGCAAATAATTTTTTCCAGATGCTTTCCATGTTTCTTTCCCACTCCCAGTTTGTTTCATTCTCAAGTTTCTTTTTCTCTTGGAGCAAACACTTGGCTCTATAAAACAAAAAAAAAAAGAAGAAAGAATTGCCAGCAAAACCTGCTCCATGCAGTGTGTACAGTGTTACTGATTTCCTTGCAGAATAATAATCTTAACTGCTGAGATGCTGACATTGTGTGCTTGTGTTTATATACATACCAATGACACTACAGCTGGACTGAAGATGGGTAAAAATAGCAAGTCCCCCACAAAATAAAAATCTGATTTCATCTAGGTACATTATTTTTACAAATGCGATACTTCTGCTTGTAATTTTGCTATAAAGTATGCAGATAATTGAAATGTATACAATACCAAGCTCATTCTCGACTGTTGTCTTTATATAGAAATGTTAAGATTTCACTCCTTCCACAGCAAATTTATCATTTTTCTAATATTAAAATATACAAGTACTTCCCTTTGAATACCTGAATAGAAAAACTTGAACACACAGTGCTAGTGATGTTAAAAATAGTATTGGGTCTATTTATGACATTGTTCCATAAAATCCAAGCCAACAGGTCTCTGAGACACTTTAAATATTTGTATTGAAGGTGTTCTAGGCTAGATTTGCTCATGTTAATTTTCCCCACCTAAATATTATTCATCCAATGCAGTAAATTTTAAACAGCATTTTAAAGAACCCCATCCATGTTCTAAATGTAAAACTATCTACAAATCTGACCATGGCAAATTTATTCATCACTGACATGTTGCTATGACAGGGGAAAGTTTGTGGCAATTCATTTAATGACAGCCATCAAGAAATGTGCCCATGTAAAATATAAAGGAGATTGATTTTTATTCTATTGATCACCTTTTTACATTACCTATGATAAAATCAGCAGCATTTGGCCAGTTTCACCTACCATTCTATCTTCAACCGATTTTCATGCACTCTTCCTTTAGTAGCATTGTATTCACTTCGGCAGCTGAAAATTTGTTGCCTTATTTGGGAACCTTCACTGGGAGCTTCTTCAGAGAGCTGTTCTGCTTTTTCCAGTTCACTTTGTTGTTCCAGTTCTGCAGTCAGGCGTTCAGCTTCCTGCAACAGATGGCTCTCAGATTCCTGTAAACTGCATTAAATAGACTGGTTTAGAACTAGTCTATGTGAAGCACAAGCTTTGTATTTATACTTCTTTACATACCTATAATATTTAATTGAAGGTTTGCAAGATGAGATGGAATTAAGATCTGTATAATTTTGCTGACCTTCTAGTTGACCCTGGCTTGGGCAGGAGGTTGGACCTCCAGAATTCTGTTCAAACCCAAATCATCCTATGATGCCATGAGAGCAGTGGAATCTGGTCTCAAGGGTGTTTTTCTGCATATCTACAGTTGGAGTGAGATTCATTTTATCTAATTTTAACCAGATGGCAGACTGTTACTTAGTCAAATTTATTTGTCTAACACTTCCTGGACAAAAATGAAGAGACAGGGAATCCATTTTATCCTAAGAAGTGCCAAAGGCTAGATCTGATTAAGACTGGAGACCTATAATAGTGAAGTATCCACCAGGACAAGGCCCAGTCAGGACCTTGTTATATGATATCATATCAGTTATATGATAACTTTAAGTTCTTAATTAACACCAGGACATCTACCCAGTGATGAATTACATCTTGCTACTGTTGCAGTGCCACCAAGACCTGAAATAACTCATGTTATACATACAAAAGCTGAAAATACATTTCTGGACATCTGTGGAACCTTATTATAAGGCCTGTAGATCAATGATCTGCTTTGTATTACCAGACTAGCTCCACAGAAACAGCAAACTAACTCCTGCAGTGTCTGGAGATTGGTATTCATAATATACCTAAAAACTTGTGTGGTGATAGCTGAAAAACATTCTAAAGGCTGTTAGTTGATTATTATGGAAAACTCTTAAAGGGAACAACAGTATGAAAATTCATATACAATGCATTACACATGAACATATGCTTTATGCTACAGAAATAATATGTATGCCTCCTCAATATTGCTATATTATTACTTTTATATAATTGTCTACTAAAATATGTCACAAATTATGTAGAAGAATGAAGAACACTATCAGTTGCATTTTGCTAATTAAAAATATAGTGCAATATTTTTTTTAAACAAATGAACTTAGAATTTCCCATATTGGGAAATTCTAGACATAAATTTTGGCTCAAATTTGACATTTATGACTTAAACAGAAAGAGAAATTGCATATCACACCAAAGAATAGGGGTGAGATGGTAAAATGATGATAAAAATATAAAATATAAAACTGATGATACTGCACAAATATAGTTGAAATAATATAGCAGAAAAAGTTTTGATTCATGCAACATTTCTCCCTAGATAAGAACTTCCTGTTTCTAAACTAGAAAACAAGAAAACCACAGAATTCAAGAGAAACCGTGTGCCTTCATCATGAAAAAATAATTTCATGTGTTTACACATATATGTTAAGGAAAAAATAAACAGACTTACTGACACTGAATTCTGTATAATATTTAAATCTTTAAATCTAACAGTAAGTATGCAGTTGTGGGAGAAAATATAATTGGTTGTAGTAACACACAATTTCAAACACAATTCTTTCACAACACATACACTTTACAAACAGTTACATAAACATGTAAGTGAATTCATAAAAACAAAATTTTGAGTATTTATTCTTTCAAGATAATAAAAAAAAAGAAAAACAGAAACAAGAATTGAGTGTTGAATCTAGATTTTCCTCCCTACAGATGTCAACAGTATTTTCTAATTTGAATTTAATTGAAGACAATGAAGAAATAACTGCACATCTATCCAATGTACAAATACAGAATCCCATGACGGCAAAAGTAAGTTTATGCAGTCTGATGTGGCAGCTTTTGAATTTGTGAAATAATTAGTCATTTAGCAGAGGCTTAAGATTCCCAATCTGCTAATGAATCATCATTATTATCTGAGTATCCTTCTGTTTGGGTTAACAGAATATCCATACTAGGCTCCTAAATTGAGATAATATAAATAAAATCTACAACTAGGCCACATAATTGAGTGATTAAAAAGGTTTTCAGGGGCCAGATACAAGATCAGATACTTCAACTTTAGATGCAGCCTTACTACAAAGCGGATGGGTGAGAGAGCACCACAATGGGATGCCAGCCTGTTCTCAGCAAACATAAATTCAAAACCACTTAAGACTTTGAAGAAAAATATCAAATATATTATCTTTCAGGTGCCATCTTTCAGCTTTTAGAAATGCCAAATTGTGCCAAACTGAAAGCAAGAAATAAATTTGCCACTAAACAGAGGACTGCACTTATAGCTCTGTGTACATTAGCAACACCCTTGGAAACTACCTGCACACAGAGTAATTGCACTCATGACATTAGACAACTCTGTATTGTATATCAGAGACATCAGTTGCAATAGTTTGGCACAGCTGTCACAGGGAACTGTGCTGCTTAAGGTATATAAGGCTTTCTCCTTGAGATTTTTATGTGCTAATAAAGGAAAGAAAAAAACCACATAGAGCTTGAAAACCTCATCCTGTGTCATTTGTCTTAACATGGCATTGCAACAACACTAGGAGAGATGGGCATTTATTAGGAAAGGGACTGAATTCAACTCTTAATATGTGAAAAAATAAGTTCTTGATCTACAGAACTGTACAGCATGTGTTAGGGTGAAGAACTAACAATTAAAAAGCAGTATTGATCCTGTGAAGGGTTCTTTGCAGGAAGAGAATATACACACATACTGCACTTACCACCAGGACAATCCTTACAGCTGATGGAGAAAACCAGACCCTTGCAGATGTCTGAATAAGGAGGAAGTGTGTGGTCCTTATTTCTTTCTATAGAGTGTTAAGGGACCCTTAGAACCTTGTTCAGATAAGCATGTCTACTTGCTTAACATATGGACAATTGAATCCTAATTCTGATGTCTGAATCCCACTTTTGGTATTCTTAAAATATACTGGAGATCATGATTAATTTTTGGTAATTGCTTTCCCTTGCTTTCTTTTAGCAGTAGGAGAAATTTATCTGTGAGAATTAGTGCTTGCTCACACATTGGTGTTCTGCTGTGACACACAACTAGATCCAATACAGAATGGGACATCATGATCTCTGATCCCCTTTCTTACAGAAGCATGGCCAATTCATACTCCTGTGAGAATGATGGAAAGAATGAGAGATGTAATCTACCATCTAACATTTTCATGCTTTTGGTGCATTCTGTTAAGGGTAGTTTTAAGTGTGACAAAAAGGACAGCTGAGTCCTGTTTACACTCAGGCCCTATTCCACTTGCTATACACACAAAGGGATTGCTTTTACATAAATAAATGTCCCATAAAAAAGAATACTGTATAAATACATAAAACATGTAGGAATATGTTTGTATTTTTCCAATGAAAGACTGTTTTCAAACTAACACTGGCTGAAAATCAATTAATTAGCAGGTACTGGTTTCTGCTTCAGCTCAGTGAACACCAGTGTGGTAGAAACTCTCTCCATCAATTAATCCAAACACCAAAAAATATGTTTAGATCTGAGCAGTTAGAAAAGTCCTCTTGTATTTTCTAGGAACCTGAACAACACTGAAGTGCTGTTTTTAACTGTGCTTCTCAGAAAGATTTGCTATCTATTTCAGTAACCTGAAATAAAGTCACATGATGTTTCACAGAGTCAGAACCATATCCAAACTCTGCATTTTATTAAGACAAAACCAGAAGACTCAGCTATCCTCAAAAAACCTGTTATCTAAGTATTTTGAGAACACTTTTTCAAATTACTTTACATTACTTTGCACTTGTTACTATTCAGACTGCCAGGAGGCACAGCAAATCCCAGCATCATCCAAACAAGGGACTATAACCTGAATTAGTTTTAGGATACTTAAATTAGGCTTTAGCTTTAATGACAGAATTGCCATAAAGTTTTCAATTTGGACTGTCAGTGAAAGTGGATAAAATATGGTTAATACAGTGGATATTATGGTATGCATTACAGGAATGTAACAGGAATATCATGATGCTGATTTTACTGATAATTACAGGTGTGCTGTCTGTTACAGTCTGTACATCCATTCCCAATATTATTATGTTTGTATCAGAAACAAAGATGTGTTTCAAACAAGTATTTAAGTATCCCAAATTAACTTGAAAGTTCCTATTAAATAGTAGTGGTTTTCAACCTTGTGTTCTGGCTTCCTGTTTATGAACTAAAACAGTAAGAAAGCCTTAAATGATGATTAGGCTTCAGCACGAGCAGAAAGTACTTTAAAAACAAAATGCTTTGGCTACTGAAAGTCTAAAAAGGAATATTATACCTTATCACAGCCTCATGCAGCAGGGTGTACTGTTCCTTCAGCTCAGCTACCCTGGTGTCTGTGATTTTTCCAGCAGAAAGTAGCTATGGAAGGCAAACAGACAGTTATGAAATCTCCTAAGAACTAATACTTTCATTCTGTTGCAACTTTTTATAACTGTAATTGGCAGCCTTTCAGTTTATACAGACTTTGGTAACATAACAAATTAAATACACCACCAAATCTAATAAACAGACAAAAAATTGTTTATTTTCATAAAAATTCAAGGCATAAATATAACAACATAAAGAATTTTTCTATCACAACTACAGTGCTACTTGCACTGTACCATTTCTTCTTTGACTTTTGGTCTATATTAATATTTCATGATAATTCTGTCTGGACTTTGAACTCAGGCCATAAGTAACCTCTTTTCATTGCTTAACAGGTTCAGTTTTGGTACAAACCCACTGGCCTGCACAGGCAAAACTGAGGCCTAAAGCATCTCTGCTGGCAATAGGGTTGTCAAAAATATAGGAGCTAGGCTGAAGCTGGATTACCCCCAGGCAACAGAACACATTACCTTACACACCTGTGCAGATCTTCAGCAAACACCAAGATCAAACAGGTCCTTTAAATACCTCCAGAGACAGTGACTCAAACTCTTCCTTGAGCAGTGTGTTCCAACACTTGACCACACTTTCAGTGAAGAAATGTTTCCTAATATCCAATCTAAACCCCTCCTGGTGCAACTTGAGGCCATTTCCTTCTGCTCTATCACTTGTTACCTGGGAGAAGACATTGATCTCATGGCTACACCTCCTTTCAGATAATGTAGAGAACAGTAAATTCTGCTCCAAGCCCCCTTTTCTCCAGGTTGAACACCCCTCAGCCACTCCCCATCAGACTTGTGCTCCAGACCCTTCCCCAGCTCTGTTGCCCTTCTCTGGACTCACTCCAGCACCTCAATGCCCTTCTTGTAGTCAGGGGCTCAAAACTGAGCATGGGATTTGAGCTGTGGCCTCACCAGTGCTGAGTGCAGCAGGACAATCATTGCCCTGGTCCTGCTGCCCACACTTTTCCTGGGTGATATTGCTTTAGAAAACGTCTCTTCCCCTCCTTTGGCCACAAGTAAGGAGAAGCAGTTTAAATCCAATTAAAAAATGTAAGCTGATCCACCTCTATAAAAGTCCATGGCTACCCTGGTGGGGCAGCAAGTCAAACCTGCAACTTCCATGGGACCCTGCCAAGAAATGAGATTATGCAGATCTCCTGAAATAAGAAGTGAAATTACTACAGCTCCAAGAAAATACTACCAGTTATAATTCAACCTTCAGAATATTCAGAGGAAACCATTTAGAACTAATCCTATGGCCAAGAAGCAGAATACATGTCAATATGTCAAAGGAAGTATATATTTTCTTGATAACTGTTAAAGTTTTTTTGAAGATTTGTTTCAAAATATTTCATCATAGCAAAGACAATCTTTGCTCCCTGAGACCCCAAGAATAGAAGGTCTGCCTTTCATTTGTTTGCATGAGATTAAAGATAAGCAGCTCTCAAATATTTATTTTGGCATTCTGTATGATCAAAGATACTGTTCACTTAAGTTCAAAATACTATCTAGGTCTTCTGTGAGAAAGAAAGTATTTCCCTTTCTCAACCCATTTATTTCTTAGCCTCATACAGAGGTATAGTTGTCCTGTTTGTGTGGTGCCTCACTAATGTGCTTTCTCCACACTCCTCTGACCTATACCTGTGAATTACAGGTTGTTTTACTGCTTAGGTTCTCACTGCAGATCTACACCATGTTTGACAATGCTTCCACAGAAATAACCTTGCTTGTCCTGGAGGCTGTGTCTTTTTAATGTCCATAAACTCCTTACAGATTTCACACCTAATTTCTCAGTTCAGTTCAGAGCTAAGAGCTCTATTTCAAGAAGGTTGGTCCTATGCAGGTTGAAGACTTGTAGCATTGAGGACTACACAGGACAGGCTGCATGGATGGCATACCAGCATGCCAAAGGCAGTGGTCTCACTTTCCTGGAAAGTTTCATCACCAGATAGTTCCCATTACCACAGCATTTTTGGGAGAGCCATCAAAGAGACAGCACTGGGCTACCCTGGTCCCAGGATTTGTTATTAAAGTTTGGTATACCCTTTCCTCCAAGATTCTTGGGACAGCAGAAGGGAAAGAGGTAACTGTTTGAGAGGAAGAAATAGTTTGTGGAAGAAGGGAGCAAACGTGATCCTATTCTAGAAAAATTGAATTAATTGTGATGATAAAACCAGACTAGAGATTTGCCCCGATATAAAGATATATAATTCTTTCAATGTGGCCTGTCCCACATTAATGCTAAAATAACCAAGAGTATTTATGCACTCACGGTCTATTTTATTGCTCAGAAGCTCTCACATTGCTGGGGTAGGTGAAATGTGGGTCTCCTCAGTGTAACTATTTACATTGCTACACTGAAAAGTAAAAGAGTGAGTGAGAAGATGGAGAAGTGAGAAAAAAAAGGGCTTCTAAATGGCAATTGAGGATGACTTTCTTTTCAGTCCTGTGTTAACCATAATGCCCTTGTAAGAACGGAGGTAATTTTATTGTACTGGTGATCTCAGATCTGGAGTCTGGAATATAGTTGGATAAATATTCTTGACTTGTTGAGTCTTCCAGTCCCATTCCATGTCAGTTGTATTTAACTGTATATTGCTTTTCTCAGATTTTCTTTCTCATTTTATAATGTACTGAGACACCATACATTTTCAAACACACTCAACATTGATAAATCATCTGGATAAACCAGAATAAATTTTCCTTATCTAAATGCAGAATTACTGGAAAGTTGGATGAAGATTTGTCTTTTAACAAATGGTTGCCTGGCAACTTTCTGCTTTCCATTTCCCCATACTCCCATAAATGCAATTACATGGAATTATGTGTCTTATTATTGGATTTACTTGAATCTTTTTCTTTTAATGCAAAAATTCTGTTATGTTTATTTTACCGTATTAAGTTACCGTTAAATTGCCCTTGTGATTTTCTAACTGTTACAATTTTTTATATTGCTACGTGATTCGAAGTCTGGCTTTTCTACCAGAAAAACAAAACAAAATCTAACAAATCAAAACCAAACCCAAATTCAAGTTCCAAAGCATTTTTTTTTTCCTTCAATCAGTGAAAAGTCCCAAAGTGCTGGACATTCTATCCTATTACAAAAAATGTGGAGGAAAATTTTGCAGAGAAGGTGAAAGGGAAGGACATATCCTTAATATTTTTCTAGCAAGAAAAGGTAGATATTTTGTCTCTGAGCAGGACTCATTTAAATGTAGGAGTCCATGAGAAAAACAGAGCACACTTATGTTCAAATAGCTGTTATGTACAAATGAAAAACTTTTCTCTCTACAAGTTCTATATTCACTTGCTACCAACAGTTCCCCACCAGACCCATCTTCAAAATCTCCTGATGAAAATTCCAAGAAAAAGTGAGCACTGTGTGAGGTTATACACTATCTGAGGTACTTCTTTTATATCCTTCCAGCTTGATTTCAGCCACATGAGCCCCTGGATCTAAGACCACGGTAGTTTCTCCAAGCTTGCAAGGTGGAGATGTTAGTAAGAAAGAGGGTATGTCAGAATAGGAATGGGAATTGAAACCACAGAAGGGAGAGGACCCACCTGATAAATGAGGTACTCATCCATGTGAGCAAAACTAGTGAAATCTGGCCCTAACTTGATCAACACTTCCTCACTCTGCATTAACTGCAGTGGGCATTCTCCATTTTATCAGATTATATTCAATTTTTTCTGACAGTCAGCTCAAAACAGTGCAGCAAGGAACTCATCTGAAATTCCAAAACAAGTTTTCTCTAACTCAAATAAGAAGTCTAGGCACATTTCCCATTTCAAATTTCAAGGCTCTTAAAGTTCTTTTGGGACTCTCCAGAAATGAATAAAATTCAGCCAAATATTAAACATAAATAGATGATGGAATCTGAATATTGGTCCTACTTTTCAGAGTTTTTTGATAACAAAGCATACAAAATAAGCACAGAAGATAAACAAAGTCACCACCAAGAAATTACCACTTAACATCAATTACCTACAATCATTATTAAAGTGAAGCACTTGAGGCTTCTTAGGAAAAACTCAATTTCAGCAGTGCCTAGGATCTCTGCATTTTGGAGAAATGATGTAGCTAACACGTGTTTCTAATTATGTTTGCAGTTACTGCAAAACAACTAAAATGTATTCTAAGCTCAAATGGAATAATAATGCTTTCCCTTCCTTCATGCTAAATTGTAGGTTTTGTAACTGTAACAAGACATTTTGACTACACTTAGTGTAATTTTAAGACAGAATTTCCAACATTTTATACTCATTTGCTATTTCAAATATCTGAAATGTTTTATCAAACAACTCTTTTGCCTCCTAATAGAAGACTAGAGAAAAATATCAAGGGATTAATATATTTTGTAGTTTGTATACCCTCAGGATTTCAGCACAGTATTAGCCCCTTGGCATATGGCTCTTCTGCCCAGTCTGTTCTGTCAGGTTTGGAATTTTCCTTCTGTGCTGTTTATTTGAAGAGCTTTTCTTACCTCTTTCATATAATATTTAAAGGTTAAACATTAAGCAAAGAGAAAGGGCAAGTTCTCCTCTATAAACAGAGAGCTCTGCCTCCTCTGTCAAAACCCTCATGAAGCCACACAGTTTGGACACAGCTCAGGTGTGCCTTTTTGGGGGAGAAGGCAACGCCACCTTCTCAGGGGTTGTTTCAACATGGTAGCAGGGCAACAGGTACAAGCACACTGAGCCCATGCTATGACTCCTGCATTTCTGTCCATATTGCTGGACACCATTCTCCACAGAATCACAGGGCTAGGGATATCTGCAGATGTTGGGCTTGCCTGTGCCTGGTATATCCAAATTATCCCGGCAAAATCTTGGACCCATGATAACGCACTAAGGGAACTGAAGATTCCTCCTCAAGTTCAGCCCACTGCTCAGAGCAAGCTCAAAACTTCTCACTAATTCTCAAGATTGTGTCCTGGCTACTTCAAGATGAAGCATCCAAAAATGAAGGAAAAGCATTTCAAAGGT